TGGGGGGGGGGGAGGCGGAAGGCTCAGGGAGCGCATTCTCTCTGTATGGAGTCAGGCGATTTTCCAATTCTCCTCCTCCTGCTCACTGTAAACCGATTCTAAAATGAACTTTGCTCCAAACCTGCTTGGTTTACAATTTCTATTTTCAGGCATAGGTAAGTTTTAGAGAATTGAATGACAAGTTAGGACAATTAGACCACCACAGAAAAATTTAGAATAGTTTTCATATGTGACTAAATTATTCCCTGCATCATGGTAGGATTTAAGATATTTTCAACATAAATTTTCGATTCCGTGCTGCAAGTCGAAAAAATGAAGAAAAATGGCAGCCTCTGCTTGTAAGCTTATTGTAAAGTCATGTGTATATCATTCAGCCTGAATGTTAATGTATTAGAAGGGCGAAAATTGAAGTGTTCCCTCTTCCTACGTTTATAGAATTTCTGAATTTACTGAGGTCAATAAATTTCATCTTCTGAGTGAAAGGATAAACCAGTGATCATGATCGTAAAGTTGACTGAAAGAGGTCTTACCGTTTGGTGATCACAGGTTCTTTGAAGTCAATCTTATTGCCTTGTTCATAAATTACGATGAGAACTCTATGTTTACCTGCAACAAGCATACATAATTACACCTTAATTTTGAGCGGATATTTTAAGTCATCCACGAAAGAATGAGGGAACTATTAAACTGATAAGACTTATTTGATTCATTCTCTCGAGGTTTTTGTTGCTCCTGTCAATGTTAATATATGATTGTCGCGAGGAAACATAAAAACATAATGGTTCCTCCAACTATAGGGAATTCCATCTTTTTCATGTGTAAAAACTGATAACACGATACAGTGTGGCAAGGAACTACGAAGAACGTTCGCTTTTTCTTGAATCAATTAAACTGATTTTTGTTTTCTTTCTTTCTCTTTCAAAGGGAAACAAGTTGGATTTTGCAATCGCTAGCGATAGCAATATTCGTCATGGGAACGTTAGCTTCTGGGATATGAAAATGTTAAGGTACAGTTCGTTTGTAGTATCTTCTGAATTGAAGGGGCTATGTAATTTTGTGTTGACATCTCTTTTTTAACATTTTTAATTATTTTCTTTGCATACAAGAAAGCTGTTATGTACCAATTATTTATTTTCGTTGGATTATATATGGGTTTCGGAAGTTAACGCATTTAAGTTTCAGGTTCGCTTTTTCGGCGTAAAGTGTACATAAGGTGTCCCAAAAGCAGCGGGACTTGTTCTGTAACTTCGAAAGTAAGATAGATACAGACATGATCTTGATTTCATTTTAAAGATCAACTTAATACCTATCGATTAAAACCAAGATCAGCTCAATCGGATAAAAATTGACCGAGTTATGGCAATTTGAAATCAGCGAGGAAAGTTTACGCCTACGGTTTTTCAGGAAGATTCTTCATCGCCGTAAATCGAAAAGTCGGCCGATAAAGTGATGCTTATTGTGTTTTTTTATTTTCGAGGTGTCATTTATCAACATTTTGTACCATCAAACACAACAGTTGACAGTGCGTATTATTGCAAAGTACTAAAGGAGTTGAGAATGCACATTTCCCGGAAACGGTCGGACTTGAAAGCTTCGTGGATACTCCATCAAGACAATGCGCGGCCTCACACATCGAGCTTAACACGTGAATTTATAAGTAAAAATGGAGTTGAAACAATCCCTCATCCCCCTTATAGCCCTGACTTGGCTCCATGTGATTTTTGGATGTTTCCTACGCTTAAAAAGGAGCTTCGCGGACGAAGATTCGTATCGAAGACCGAAATCCAGAATGCAATTCAAAACTTCTTCAACTCCATCCCAGAGGAAGAATTCAGGAAAACAATGTTGGATAAGTGGCAAGAGCGCATGAAAAAGTGCATCCGGTTTGATGGACGGTACTTTGAAAAGCGAAAGGAAGTTATGGAAGATTCGGAGGAAAGTGGATAGGAATATTAACTTTTTGAATCCTGGTAAGCGAAAAATCTTCCTAAAAACCGTAGGGGTAAACTTTCCTCACTAATTTCAAATTGTCATAACTCGGTCAATTTTTATTCGATTGAGCTGATCTTGGTTTTAATCGATAGGTATTGAGTTGATCTTTAAAATGAGACCAAAATCATGTCTGCATCTATCTTACTTTTGAAGTTACAGAACCAGTCCCGGTACTTTTGGGACACCCTACGTATGATATTTTTACTCTACACATATGCCCAAATACGCATCATAAGGGACCTATGTGCTTCCTAAGTTGCCAAGTATTAATTATTGTTAGATTATTGGTCTAAAACATTCAATACAACCAGTAAAAATTAGCTGTCCCCTACGAGATTCGAACTCCCGCTCGCACAAAAAGTGACGCTCTCCCAGGGTCAGAACAGTGGCTTAGCTAACTGAGCTATCATCACCGATCGGATGTCGATGGAGAAAATGAGAACAGTTAAGTGATCTCGGACGCTGAGCGGGGCTTCACAAAAGACGTCCTTGAGATTTCAACGGTTCGGCCACTGGCGTGATAAGAGACAAATGGATCAAGCGCATTACTCTGTGAGACATTGTTTACCTATGCGGTCATGTGTCACAAGGTTCATCTCAGTATGCATATGCGATCGCGGCAGTAAGCTGAGGCAATATTTCTGTATTCATGGATTAAATCCATCAATCGAGTTCTGATTTTGGCTCATATATCCGTAACGGGTCCTCCAGAGCAATTTTCCACCTTGTACGATGGTTATTATTTCTTTACATCTATGTTTAAAATTTGAGGTGGGATAATGGCGGCTTCTCAAGAGCAACGAGGTAGGCGATCTTTTGCACCAACGAACAGAAAACTGATGGCGAAAAATAGCCAATGAAAACCTCCCAAAAAAAAGAATTTGCCTAAAAACGGAACTTCGTGGTTCTGCGCAGATTTACCAGTCAGACACGACATCTCAAGGTGGAAAAAAACTCGCTGAAAGCGAATTTTAGAAATCAACACAACTTGACGTAGAGACATGATTGGCTAAAAAATACAACGGTTTTTGATACATCGGAAAATCAACCAAAAATCGGAGACTGGGCGAAACGCTCAAGGTCGCAGAGGTATAGGGAATCCCATTGCGAAAGCAACGGAACGATTGTAATATCATGGGGAACTCCGTTCCCATGACAATAAATGTTGGTGAATTTCTAAGAATAAAAGTTATAATCTGTGAAACTGTTAACCTGGAGTCATAATTGGATTTATTACTGCCAAACGGAACCAGAGACAGTTGGGAAAGAAGAGGTGTGCTCGTTAGACGAGGACCGTAGGAATGAATGAGAATTATACAGCGCCAATGACGTCAGCGGTGATAGCTTTGGTATCGGGATTGACGTCTAATGTCCTCAACTTATGAGCCCTGTCCAAAACACTCTTGTCACATGCCCACATGGCTCATGAGTGCCGCATTCAGTCGACACTAGTTCTGCTTGAAATAATGTAAAATCCTGATTTTCTCATGCAGTTTTCTAGAGCCACACCCCGTCTTTCCCGCTCGTCTTTTGTTTTGTTTGGCATGAATTTGTCCGATTGAAACTTACACAACCTCAAAAGGAAAAAATAAAAGAAAATTGAGTACAAGAATCTCTTTTTGTGAGAAAAACTCAAGAGACCGGTCGATATCTTCGGTACTGAGATAATCTCGTTTCAACAACAGTCGCTAAGAAACACTTGGACGCATTTTACCATCATGGTGCAAAGGACGCGAGTGCAAACTGGCGCGAATCAGAAACAAGGTTCTGTGTTTGCTTATATTTGAACCAAGGGTTCGAAATTATATCGAATGACGTAGTCCCTAAATCATCCCATGGCGCACATAGCGAGCGATAGCTCTGGTATCGAGAAATTACGAATTTACAACGACCTAAGTGCGCTGCTCGTAGCGTCGTGATCGCGCAATGCGTGAGGTATTCCTACAGTCTTGAAGGCGCTAACATTTGTTTTGCATCAACCGCATTGTGTTAGGCGCGACAAGTTCAACGCGCGGAGTTAGTGTTTTTCAACTGGTCACAAACTCACACCCATTGAGTTTTTGGACACTCTGTATGGATTACTGTCCGTTAAAATGATAAAAAAATCCATAAAATATAAGTAATTTTCCTCTGTTTTTTTACAAGCTGTTAACATCATGCCCGCACCTCTTGTGAAACTGCGCCAATTTGTCAGCCGTTGGAAACTTGTAATCAACGGCAGCAGTCATTGTTTACGCTCTTGAAAAGGCAGATTCTTAAATAAAAACCCGCACTTTGACCCATGAGCTAGGTCGACGGCCGCTCGCTATAGAATTTGCTTCGTTGTCACGTTCGTTACGTCGGGTGGATAATACATGTTTTATATACAGGGTGTTCAAGGGACTGATCGATTTCTTCATAAAGAGGTTCTCGTTATAACGATAGCCGTTAGTGAGAGACTACTGTGCATTAACGAAATGTTTTAAACACTGACCTGAACTCTCTGCAGGCTCTAAGATACCATATTCGGTAATATTCTCACCCGAATTCCACGCTCCGCCCAAAATGTTCCCCACAATCCACAGTTGGCGCTCTCGACGCGGCCATTTTGGGTTCGCATCAATGTCTAGGAGGAAACAAAATTCAAATACTAGACTAGGCGTGCATTCATTATTTTTATTTACTAATATCCCAATAGAAAAACTAATAGGGTATACTTTTGATGTTTTAAGTATGTTATTTCGGAGGATAGTTTAATGTTATTATGGAGATGATGCTTAACAAGCGCGTACTCAGCTAAAATTCCTTTTCAAATGTTTCCAAGAGCATTGATTTGTTGGAACTATCTACAATGCCGTGCTGAATAAAAATACAACGAACATAAAAAATTGCGCCTTTGAAGATATCTTGTCATATTTCCCTTTTTCAAATGATATGGTCATCAATGACCGTTAGTGCACGAACTTTTGCAAGCCATTTGGATCAGTGATATTAGTATCATAGGCGTTTAACTCTCCGGAGCAGGTCATCTACTATAATTTATAATAATATAAATATTCGTTTCCACGTTAGGTGATACATTTAAATTATAAAAAAAGAATAATACAAAAAGCTCGGCTGAATTTTGATATCCGTGGTGAATGAGAGGCAATTCGCTTTTCTTTGTGAGTAGCTCCTTCCCCAGAAATTTTCTCTGAAAATTGGTACCCCTAGAATGTAATTTGTTGTTGTTTTTGTGGTGAAATAACACTATTTTTCCATTCACTCCCCAACACTGATTAGTAAGGTTGCAAAGTTTGACACTATTTCATCAGAAATCATAAACTTGCGCTGTAATTTGATAATTGCGTCATCCGTTGAAAATGGTTCCTACGTTTTTGAAGTGATTACCTGTGAATATAATTGTGTAGTAGAGGTGACAGTCGGGCATCCATTCAACACTTTCGGGATGCTTCTCATAATATTTCTTGGGTATTATGTTACCAAAAGTTGCAAGGGTGACATTATCGTAATTGATCTGACGAGACAGAAAAAAATGAAGGAATTAAAGGTCTGAATATCGACGGAAGCTCGGTTTTTTGACCCTTTACAATTACATCTAAATAATGGAGAGGTGGCAAGTATTTGAAACGATGAATTGCATTTATAAATGGAAACCACGTAGTGAATTGAGTATGAAAGGAGCCTTTATCTTTAGGATGAATAATTTTTAGAGGAGTTACGAGAGAAAAACCTCATCGAATAACTCATTGTCTTGTATCAATGGACGTAGAAATTACATAATTCAGTGATTTGACCCAGGATTTACGATTTGGTTAAAAGTTTACTGGCTTGTTTTGAAAATAAAGGGGAAAATAATGAAAATGACGCGTAAGATTTTATAACTAGCAGAATTAAGGCGCTACACAATGTGTCTCCCTTTGTGAGTTTCCCAAAAAAGTTTTGTGAATTGCAGACCACGAACAATATCAAAATAAAATTAAATTACCTCTGCAATGTAGATCGGTATTTTGTCAAGTATGCCGGGTGTGATCTTTTCTTCCAACAAAATATCCTCCATATTTCCGTCTCCACTCCCTAATAACGGTACAATCTGACTTAAAAAACAGCTAACTACTGATAATCTTACACGGTAAGACCACGGACTAAATCTATACATTTTTGAGAGGAATGAAGAGGCAAATATGCACCTTTTGAACCATTAAGTGGTATTAAATGATTCTTAAATATTACTTTTAACTTAAAATATTACAAGGTTGTCTGTGCGTCCTCCACGTAAAGTCGATTCAAAAACAATGGTTAATTTTTACAGTTCTGTGCCATTTTTAGCGCTTTCAATTTTCGGATGTAAGTTGAATCATAAATGAAATAATAATTGAGATTGTAGCAATCACAGCACTTCAGAAAATAACTAAACAACTATTGATCTTTTTCCGAAAGAGTGGCTGGATGCAACAGCATCTCACGAGAAGAATGTTTTCAACACAGTGTTTTGTCTGCTGTATTCCGGCAATAAGAAATTTAAGGAGTGATTGGCTTATCCGAATTATTCCATCATTCATTCATTATTCTATCAAAGTCCATTTCCGACTAGCTACTCTGTACAGATCAGATAAAGACAGCAGAGAGTACAGTTAAAAAAACGCATCTTTCAGAGGCTCCTCCATGATCCAATCCTTTCATTGTAATAGACTAATAATTAAAGTAATAAATTAAACATCACAAAGTATGTAGCATCGTTTAAAATTTATGCAAAATAAGCCGAACGTATTGATAATTTTCAGGAACAAAAAGTACATAACATATGTATTAGCATTAGTGTCTACATCAAAATCTGTTACTTCAAATTTACCGCTCGTTATAGTGGGGCCGATAAGTGGAAAATATCATAAGAATCGTGCACTTCTGGAAGAAAGCATGAAAATTTCAGGGATTCATCTCTACCCTATAGACATTCGATTCAGACATAGACCCCAAAAATCTGAGCCCCCTGGGGGGGCAGGGGGGTCCCCAAATTTTGAATTTTGAATAACTACTGAACAGCTAATGTTAGCGTAATTTTTTTAAGCAGGACGATAGGAAATTTTATTAGGAACAAAAATGGTTCTTATGAATTTTTCTGTGGGATCGATATTTAAGGCGTGAAACAGGAAAAACCATCGGGGGACGGGGAGCCGGCCGTTCTGAGGCAGATCCGCGCGCTGCGCTGTTTGCCCGGGACGCGCGCGGCGGCACAGTACGGTGTTACCGACGAAACAGTCGCTTGTCTTGGTTTAATCTCAATGATGCACAGTTTTAAAAATAATAATGAATTTACCGTACTGCCTAAATACTTTTCCTCAGTAATATAAGCTCTACTTTTTATAAGTAATACATAAAAACAAGCAAAAGCGAAATACTCCAATGTGAGAGCGTCGAGTCAATAGGAGGGATCGGTCATCGCGCATCACGCGTCTTGTTTTCTCTGAATGCAGAGCTTTTCCGACCTCATTACAGAGTAAATTACCCTTTCCTCACGTAAGTTTTGTACAGGATTACATTTTTTTAAGATATTAGAGCGAAATAACAAGTTTTAATACGATTTTGACCCACTTTTTCATGACTATTGGAAATGGCGGATCCTTCGTAACTTATTTTTAGCTTATTTTTCATGTTATTTTCGGCGAATGAGACAATGAGCTGCTTACATAACCATGAATTTTTCAAAACTTGGTAGAGATATTAATTGAGGAGTGAGGAGGGAGGGTAGGGGGGCTTCACATTCCCTTTGCTACCAAGGTTACCAGATTTCCTTCAAAATGAAGGAAAAATCGTTTTTCGTTCATGTTCATTGGTTTCTCGCAATTGCATAGGTACTGATTCATACGGAACATTCCGACAATGTTTTTTTCTCCTCTTTTTCCCTCCAGCCAGTCAATAGAAGTTTTCATTTTCATGAACTCCCCATTTTTTCAGTTATTCAACAAATATGCATATTTCAAAAAAAAAAAAAATAGAACAATACATTAAATAAATGATAAAAAAGAAGATATCTGAATACTATCGCCTCTTTTTATCGAGTCATCCTTGAAGATATTATCGCTACTTACCACGACACATAGAAAATGGAATGAGCAGTAAAAAAAATCCATGTATATTATCTTACATTTTGTTGTATGGAATTTAGAGTGGAGTTGGTAACATTTGTATTGAAAAAAATATTAATATAGGAAGAAATTTATTTATCATGCAGGTTCTGATTCTTTAAAGAACCTCTGAGAAGGACCAGGCCTCAGGAAGAAATTCATTGCATTTCTTCTTTTTCAACCCGCAAATCTCGTACCGATTTTTGATTTGTATGGAGCTCATGGAAGAGTTCTAGGTAAGTACGTCGGAGACAATTTTCAAGAAACGGGACTTGCAAAATATGCAATGCACAAAACGTACACCTTAAACTTTATCGTACAATATAACACTGATCGAATTGGCTTTAGAGATTATCAAAAGGTTAATTTATCGTCAAAATATCAAAAAATCAGTCAAAATCAGTAATCAGTAATCAGATGCAAAATTACTGAGATTGCGGAATATCGTACCTATGATGCGCTGACATAAGAGCAGGATAGGTTCCCAGTACTTAGGCGCGACTTCCTATCACTCAAATGGACCCTTTTGACAGATTAGCGGATACGGCGGCCAGTTATTACTTAATAATATTCTTTGTACTGTACAAGAAGCAGTCCAACAAAGGTTTTTTGGGGGTCATTTATCCCTATTAAGCTTTCTCAAGATTCTTTTGCCGTTTTTTTTTGGAGCAAGTTTTGAAGGTGGTTTTGGTCCTCTTAAAAAAATGTCTATACGTAGCAATGATGTACCAAAATTTTCCTGAAAGAGAGGAGAATAAGCATGTTTTTATGTATGCTCATTGTTTACAAAATTAGGCTCCCTGTCTTAAGTGAGCATATTTAGATACCATCCTGATGTAGCAGCATCGAGAGAAAGAGAAAGAAAAACATTTTAAAATCATTTTTCAGGTCATCGTGGTACACAAATAAGATTTGTGACTTTTAGCCCCCCCCCCTCCCTTCCCGAGACAACTGTGCCTCAGATTTTATTCCGTTCTACTGATGTCTAATGCAGTTATCTCGGATGCTGTAATAAAACTTGACAAACCCATACAACAAAACAATTCGGAACTCCAGCACTTAACCCCTTCTCTTTCTGTTGCCGTGCGCTCGCTTGTATACATATATTACCTGCATAAGTTAAGCCCTATTTTAAGGCTTTATAGGTAGTACGATATATTCACAATACTTTTAAAACTGCGCATCGTTGAGATTAAACCAAGACAAGCGGCTGTTTCGTCGGTAACACCGTACTGTGCCGCCGCGCGCGTCCCGGGCAAACAGCGCAGCGCGCGGATCTGCCTCAGAACGGCCGGCTCCCCGTCCCCCGATGGTTTTTCCCGTTTCACGCCTTAAATATCGATCCCACAGAAAAATTCATAAGAACCATTTTTGTTCCTGATAAAATTTCCTATCGTCCTGCTTAAAAAAAATTACGCTAACATTAGCCGTTCAGTAGTTATTCAAAATTCAAAATTTGGGGGCCCCCCTGCCCCCCCAGGGGGCTCAGATTTTTGGGGTCTATGTCTGAATCGAATGTCTATAGGGTAGAGATGAATCCCTGAAATTTTCATGCTTTCTTCCAGAAGTGCACGATTGTTATGCTTATCGGCCCCACTATTAAAAAACCGAAACATTTGCAGGACAAATCGGTTATGAAAAATGCCATGTTTGGTTATGGAGCTTTTATCATTGAACTAATAACTGAAGCAGAATTTCACGAAATATTCCTTCCTCCTGTGACTCACAAGACATGAGAGCCGGTTGAGAATAATTCGACTCTTCAAGAAAATGATTCCATAAAAACTCACGGATAAAATTAAGTGATCATTTAGATTGAAGTTATCTTTGATGTTTTTGGAGAGCAGGAACTTTGAATGTAGGGGTTCAACAGACGTAACTTTTGTACTATAAGTTGAACCACTAAAAGTACTAAATTAACTACATTTCATTCCGTGCGTTGAATCTCACTGCTTCCTAAACCATAATGAGAGAAAATGTATTTCGATGTTTGGTTTGTAGCATTGGTCTGCAGACCATTTTGTAAAGTTGATTTAAGTAAATATCTTAAAATAATATTTAACGTCAAAACTTGATTGAATTAAGTTAAAACAAAGGAAATATCTGAGAACTGATGTATGAACATGATTGACCAGATGAACAAAATATAAACTAGGTACTATTTCCCTCGCCTCGTTCAAACTGAAATAGCTGTTCGGCGAGTTAATTGAGTTACTATATGATGTCTTAAAAATCAAAATGCTATTTGAACGGTTAGTCTTGATTAAAAATAAATAACTTGCATTCCATAATATTGATTAACTCATTGTCACCACGCAGTATTCACTCAATTGAGATCTGGATCCCAAGTTTCGTCCCTCCAAAAATCATAATTATGTTGAACATCGTAGTCAGTAGGCTTGATATATCCGTAAGTCGTGTTCACTCTTCCGTAGAAGAAATTCCCTGCCCACGGTCTGCTAAAATTATATTTTGCCATACATTTTCTGGTGGAAAAGTGCGCTCGACGTAGCCGTTGATCAATGATACTGAAAACACGTGAGAAGAAAATGATAGGCGATTATAATCTTCCAGGCAAAACCAAAAATATCACCAGTTATTTATAATGGAAAATTCTTCATTTCTGTGAATTCCTCTTCTTTACTAGAATTTCATATATTCTCGGATACGACGTATTTTTGAATAACATGTTAAGAAAAAGCTTGGTTACTCAGCAAAAATTGCATTCCTTTGTTTTTTGCGAGTGGGGCACTGAAAGCGAGGAACCGTGGGCGTGGATTACAGCATTTGGATTCAACTATCTGTCGTATAGGCGAGACGAATCCTTTGTATACTGTCTGCCGATCAATTTCCAAAAATAGCAAATACTGTTGCGACCTACATATTTACGGATAAGGCATTGACGGTATGTAACGCCTGGATACCACTATTCGTGCACATCGAATGTCTCAATTGCACAAAAAAAAAAAAAAANGTCGAAACGATCGCAAAGGCGGTATACTACGTATACGCGCCAAAAAAAAAAATGAAGGCACTTCCGTTGTCTCTTCCTCGCAGTATTGTGAGGCCTGCAATGCTATAATACTACGAACAGCATATCCATAATCCTGCGCGTGGACTTAAGATATCAAGGTTTTTCCTGTAGATTTTAATTTTTTTCGCCATGAACTATTTATATCTTTGACAATTAGAAATTACAAATAATACTGTTTTCCTGAGAATTTGTTTGACCAAGCATTCTAATTCAATAAATATTGAACTAATGTTTCAAGTTTGTTTGTGACCTCTCACGTCTTTCAAGGCTTTTCGTTGTAATAGTATGGGAGCTCCCTCAAAATGACTCTGCAATTTTTTTCTCTATGAAATCTCAAGAGGGCTTAACACAATAATTTTAGTGACACTTTTTTGATTTGGAGAAAAACAGAGTCTCCGTTAAAAAATCAGTTTCCGCATGTCTTGCAAAAAATTTAAGTGGATGATGTGGGACTCGTAACTAATTTTTGACTCTATATTTTGGGATGTATCTTTACTTTTGATAGTCAAAATGAACTGTAAATCAATTTTTCTAATAGCGTTCACTGGCGTATTCATGCACTGAAGATTATAACTGTGGCCATTTGGCATGCAAAATTCAAAAATTGACTTACTCAGAATCTCTAAAGACGTCATACTTCTCTCCCGTGTACTGCTCGTCAAAAGGTATCCTTTTACCGTCCGGATGTCTAAATACGAGAAACACATAACGCTTCCTTGCTAAAAACAGAGTTCACTGGCATTAAGTTGAAAGGCAAGAATGTTCCATGAACACTGAGCTTTACATTTTCAATGAAATAATTCTGGTAGAACTAGATGAGTCATTAAACCTTCCTCAATCGCGGTTAAACTGAAGATTATTTAATTTTGTTTAGCCAGTACTGGTCTGGACACTGATCATGTAAGATTAATTGGGCGAACATACCAATCCTTCTAATTCTTTTTTATGTGCCATCCTTAATCCAATATCGAGGTAGTAATTTCTCACGATGGACAATATTGAAGAAACACAACTCATAGCTTTCTAACCCCGCATAGAACTTTAAATTTAGTTAAATAAAACTCTGAAGAAGTAGGTTTTTCTGAACCCACCTCTTCTGTGTATGGGTTTCTACATTTTTCTTAATGATTATATTTTAACATTCCCGGTCCCTTGAAGTCGATATTTTGGAAACCCCAGATTTACATCTAAGAGAAGAAAAGAGCCCGGATTTGAATTGCGGGCCGAGTAGCATCCCCTATTTTACGAATCGTCTCTGATTGATTGATTCGTCTGGTGCCCACTTTCTTGCGCCCTTATGGAAAATAACACGGAGTTCATTTTCCATGAAAAATATCTCGAAAAGAAGGAAAAATCCATACCAGGTTAATTATAAGGAACAATTTATAGAGATTTCAGAAATTAATTCTACAGATTTTTCTGAGGAGATTGATGGCAATTCATGACATTTTTATCTCAAACACACCGAACAGTGGAATTTTGTTTTTTCATGACACCAAGAGTCATATTTTTTTCAAGTTGAAAACACAAAATTCCAAGTCCTACTCAACTCGAAATAACCTCATTTGTCTATAGATGGCTGTAGATTCCTAAAAAATCTGAACAAAGGAATAGAAGCCACAAAACTCCCCCCCCTCAAAATAAAAAAAAATCCAAGTCGAACCTTATTATATACCCATCAATCTCTTCAAAAAAACCTGGAGAGATTAATTCTGAAATCTCCGACGTATAAATGTTGCCTTGTTTCCGACATATTTATGACGGAAAACGAACCCCGTGTTATTTCTCATAAAGGCTCCAGAAAGTGGGCACCATGCAAATCAGCCCATCAGAGACGACTCGTAAAAGTAGGGGGTGCCATTCGGCTCGCAATTCAAATTTGGTCTCTTGTTTTCTCTTTGATTTACATACAGCTGTCGAATTTTTGACTATTTTTTTTGTGGAAAATTGTGGAATATCCTTGGAATTTGGAATAGTAGGTAACAATACTTACAATTTGCCTGCCCAAGTTCCCATATCATACCAAGGTACTGAGTGAGCTCCTCACCCCTCTGCCAGTGCACTTCGGGGATATTTACGACCATCCAATGTTGCCATTCTTTTTGGAATGGATGTTCTGCCGTGGGTGCATCGGGGTCTAAACAAAGAAGGAACTACTCGTCATATTGAGTCTAGCTGTGACCATAAACAATTTTAATCTGGTTTAACGATTCTCCCGGTATCCACTTTGTTCTAATCTACTTGCAATTTTATTATGAATAACTAATGGAGATTATATTTAGCCAAAACCCACGATTATAGTTTCTACGATATATATTATTAATCAAATTACGTGGGATTTGGGACACAACATTTTGAAAATGAAACCGTCAAACATTCTCCATCGACATATCGACGGTGAAGCTACCAAACCACGTATCTCGGTTTGCGACGTCGCAGACTTCCTGTCATACTTTATTTTTTAAATGAAAAACTATTTAACGTCCAGCCTTGAAAATTTCTGTGATTTTTCCTCTTCGCGCGGAGAAAATTCTGTGAAAATTTCAAGGAATGATATAGATTTGGTCTACTTTCAAAAAATAAAATGTGAGCGTAGATTTTTAAACACCGCAAACGAGATACGTGGTTTGGTAGTTTCACCGTCGATATATAGCTTTACGCATATCTCATCATGTTTTGATCATAGTTCTTGAGCTATTTTCCCCCCGCCATTTATCAATATTGTCTGATAATTTTGTCGAAAAGTGATACGTGATAACCATTTTAAAATTATGAAATATAAGCAAAAATGTTGAAACACTGTAATCGAGATTCTTGGATTAGTTTCACCGCCACACAGTGCGGCAGTGCGGCCCTCTATGGACAAAAATAAAAAAAATTCACAACTTGACATCTGAATTTTTTTCTATACTACTAAAACTACTTCAAATTTGGGTGGAGAGTGGGCGGGAAATGAGTCGAGAATCACTGGTCCATAAGAGATACACGGGAGAAAGACGTCAACGTAAAATGAAGATTTCTCGCTTGAAATGCAAAATGCTCTGGGTAGTTGACAGTTTCTTATTCCTCAGATATTCAAATTCAATTCTATCAAAAAGATCTTGTGACTTTTTGCGAGTATCAGAGATATTTGAAGTTAAAGTTTGGGTGTTTCACGTTGCTTTCACATTGTTAACATAGGGCTGATTCGAGGTTGCCAACTTCTAATGAACTTTTCTCGAAAAATACGCCAAAAATCCTGAGATGTAACATTTTCTTATTCCTCGAGTGTTTTACTTTGATACTGCCAAAGGTTTTCCTATGTCAGTGCTATTATCTTCATTATTTAAAGTTGATTGTCTTTTACCGATTTTTGTCCGCATCGTCCATAAGGATGCCGACTGTGCGCCGATTTGTGTGTTCGTGATTATATGTCAAAGTAATCAATACAAAAAGTAAATAAAGTAAAATAAGAAAAAAGAAAATCTGTTACCTGTCATTATCATCGTGTAGTAATCATTGTTCTCATACGGCCAATAAAGGAACAATGGCTTCTTCTTCATTTGAAAATAGTGAATATCATTACCATAGTCCACATCCACGGTCGGCCGTCTACGGTAGTCAATCTAACGAACCAATGAGTGAAGGATATTTTTTGATAATTTCAATAATGATGCACCGATAATTGCACCAAACAGAAAAGGAACCGGGCCACATCAGCTATTGCCAAATTTAATCGGCTAATTTAATTTTTTACACGAGAACAGTTGTGCGGATTTTCGTGCAAATTTCAGTGAATTTTCGCCATAATACAAAGCATATTCCTTCGTTTTTTTCCTTTCTTTTTTTTTCCTTAATTTTTTTTTTCTTGCCGCCCGTGGGCTGCCTGTATTTTGCCGCCCCCTTCTCATTCGTTTTGAAACTCGATAAAAACCATCAAGTGAACGTGCCGGAGGGAAAGAGGCGTATAGGACGCGTTTATTCGTGTTGGTCACATTTTTTGCCCTGGCGATTTTGTCGCCTTTTCTCGTTTGTAATTTTTTTTCTAAATCCGAATTTTTTTTATACCTACATTTAAAAAAATTGCAAAATTTGCCGCCCCCTATAGATTTGCCGCCATGGGCCGCGGCCCATGTGGCCACCCCCTTAATTCGGCCCTGCCCATTGCCCGATGATCTCTGGGAGGATAGGGGGCAATGGCGATTGGGCCGCGTCACAGAGCGCGAGGCTGCGCTGTGAAAGCGACTTTATGTATGTAAGTTGGGGGAAAATGGAGCCGTATTTTAAGCTTTCTAAAGATAAGACGTGGACGCAAGCGACAGTGATTAATATAACAAATATTTTTGTAGTTCTTCGAAAGATATGTGATTAATTTTAATAAACTATTACAACGTTTAACTATTGTTCCCGTCTTACCCTCATCAGATGGTCCGGCGCCAACGAAACAACATCAGGAACAACCTTGTGTCTTAAGAAAACTTCCTCTATGTCTTTCGTTGTCCTTGGGTACTGAGGATTGAACGCAAAAATAATACTGACTTTCAGAGCTATGATACAGAGTCTCGGGGGCAACTTATCGGCACTATCAAAACAAACCATTTTTACAAAATGTTCAAAACACCGATCATGGAAAAGCGTTCAGAATTCATCATGCAGTAAAAGCAATAGTTGCAATAGTTGCTAACACGAATGAAGGAAAGACGACTGTGCGAAAAGTCAAAATATTCGTGATTATGAAGTGATGCTATTAACTGAACGCTTATCAGTATTTTAAACAACTGTAATTGACAGATCTAGAATGTGATACGGAGTGCATTTTGCAAAAAGGAATTAAGAGCATTCCAATGTTGCTAGGATTGTGCAACTTACATCCTTTGCAATAAAATTACTGAAATAATGCAACAAATTAAATTTACAAAGGTAATTTGCGTCTTGAATTATAGTTTATTGGGAGTAAAGATAAAGTTTGTTTAGATTATGAGTTTATGTTTGCATAGTAAAAAGAAGTTGCACAATCATAGCGACACTGGAATGCTCTTGGTTCCTTTTTGAAAAATGCAATCCATATGTAACATAATCTATGGAAAAAAGACTACGTTTTGAGTGCCACGGAATAATTACAACAAACCTTGATATGTAAATAAACCTTGAAACTTGATGCTATCGAAGTTCAACGTCTCAAAAAAATACTTTCAGGGTCGAACCACTTTTATTTTCAAGACTCGGTTACCTAGAAGAAGAAAGATTGGATAAAATCGAAAAGCATACTTTCTGGGTGTTTTCTTTATTTGTTCTTTTCTAAATTAACTGAATGTACATATAAAACTATACTATAAACATTAAATATATTATTTACAGATAATATTTCCAATTCGGTACAAAAAATAAGCCAATCGATTTTGGAGATCCACAGATTGATATTTGAATAATTTCTACCCTAGATATTTTTTTTCAAGGAACGCAGACGCTGCATGTAGGTTCTCAAAGAAAAGTTTTTTATTTAAAACCTAGTTATTGTGCATTAAATCCGCTCTATTCGCTAAGAAATTCGAAGAGAAAAGCAGATTACAACTGCATTACATTCATGTTATAAATGTTTACTCTCAGCTATTATTTTCACTGCATTTTCTCTTATCTTAGGTTTTTGATGGTCTCTGCCATCTCAAAATCCTCCGGCTCATCGGTGATGATCCCGAAAATGTGGTCCGTGTGATTTTGGGCGTACTTGACGTGGGTCATCGTGAATCTGTGCTCGAATTCATTCATCACATCTTTTTCGTGAATGGTGAAGTTGTGAGAACCAGGATTTAACTAAATTAAATTCATTCATCAAAACATCAACTGTCAAAATTAGTTAGCATCCGAAAAAGAACAAAATTAAGTAAAAAAAAATTAATCGTGTTCCACGCAACTTTGTTTCACTTCTATGTGAGAAGCTTCAAAATTATGAGACGAGAGATTTGATCGAAGATGAAACTTCCTTCTTTCACTCTTTATCATAATAGATTGTTACATTCTATTTTGTTCGAATTAAACTCATATGACCTCGAGCAGTGAACAATGCCACGTGCTCTATTTATTCCCTATCTCTTGCATACAATGAGAGAAGAGGGAGTCTGGTGGATAATTAAGTTTCCAAATTATAACGCAGTTCAAACGAGTTTTTTCTAACCCAATCCTTAACAATTTTGTGTGGACCTGTAGCTATTAGGAAAAACATGTGATGAATATGTAAGTTCCACGCCATTTTGAATTTACTCTTTAACTAAATCAAGTTTCACTCTTGCCGATTACACTAACACAATAGCAAATTTACCGATTTATGTCACCGATATTTTATTTCACCGATTATTCACCAGTAACACTTCACCAGGGCTGCATTTCTACTCTCTAGTCATCCAACAACTAGAGTCTCTAGACCGTGCGAGAGATAAATCAATTATTTCTGAGTTATTGAGGAATATACTTGATAGGACCCATTTTAATTGTCACAGATCCATGAACATTTCCTCGAATATACTCGCAGCCAATTTAATGTTCACTTAGGGCTACGCCCCCAGAACGATTCCCGGTCCAACCCCTCGAATCGCTTTGCGCCTCAGGCGTAATGTGATATTCGTTAATCATATTATGCTTTCATTTTAAAGAGTATGCTTTTCTCGATTATGTTTCAGCAAACGCGATTTTTTTCACTAGCGTGGAGGAGATGCTATCTTGCTGCAGTCTCAAGCTATCAATTATTATTCAGACATGCTTCCTTTGCGCAATTGATGGAAAATCAACGAGCTCGCAGCCTCTTAAAATTACAACCTCGCAACCCCCCCAAAAATTGCAGAGCACAGAGCAAATCAAAGGAGGGGCGGGTATAAATGGCGTCACTCCAACCCCTCCTCTCTGGACATTTGGAACCTTATGGGAACTATTAGGGGGCAATGGAACAACTTGGGTCGACCTGCCAACTCCATCGACGACCACCGCTCAGCCAACAACCCCGAAAGACATAGAACTAATCCTCAGGAATGCCAAGATCATCCCGGATGTGCTAAACAAAAGACCACCTCATGAAATTCAGGTGAGATAGTTGAGCAACCTTGCCATGATATCACTCACTAATGATAGAGTCCCTTTATACCCAGAGTTACGACAACTCACTTTTGGTTGGGCCAGGATTGGGCTGAAAGTGGCCTAAAAAAAATCCAATTCTGATTGGTTCTCGCTCATGGAGGCCGAAACGAGTGCACCAAGATGGCGGTACCTCGAATGTGAACAAGAATAATGAAAATATTACCTAATTGTGGTTTATCAAGAGTAAATTGTTATTTCCATAGGTCCAAAATGAAAATAGATTAAGAAATTATTCACAAACCAATCTCATTTTCTTTTTAATTGATCACTTTGTTGATGTTGTTGTTTTTGTGTGACAGACATCGCAGGATTCCTGATCCTTATCCCTCAATATCGTTCGTTTGGGTGCACTCGTTTCGGCTTCCATGGCCAGCCAAGGCCGACTGCCAGTCAGCTGATAATCGAGTTGTCGTAACTCTGGGTATAAAGGGACTCTAACTAATGACGTTGGTGCCATATACACGCATTATTTTATAGTCCGACAAGCAAGCCAAGCAGCCTCTTGGTGAATCATAGATTGCTGGACTCGTCAAGTATGTGCCTGTGAAGTCCTAAGCGCCGCAACTCTCAGTTTTAATACATTTTTAGTCTGTAGACTAGTATCTCATTTAGACCTTTTACCGTTTTGACCTTGCAGATAATACTATATATGAAAAAGTTGGATGACCAAAACTGTAAAGGCACTGCAGCTGTAAGGGGTAGGAGTTAAGGGGACTATTTCTTTATCGATATTAGGGAACACCATGTGCACATTATCATAAAATTGTTGACGTAACAGTGGCACATGAACTCTTCATGGCTGCAGTCAAGCGTTTAGTCTGCCTGTCTCCACATTTTGACCGAATGCAGTTGTGCACGGACTTAAAACCACGACGGGCAACGACGGCAAAGAAGCCACCGGTGATCGTCCACACTGAAAAAAAATTCTCGGCGTTTTTACCAAGGTCCGTTGGTACCTTTACCATATCACTTTTTTTTACCAATTATTGGTAATTTTACCAAGACAGACTAGTAAGCTTACTTAAAAACCGGTATTTGTACTGTTTTTTCCAGGTAAGAATACCACTTTTATTGGTAATCAATTCCCGGTAACTTTGCCATTTTATCTCGGTAATTCTACCACAGTCGATAAAAAATATTGGCGTTTTTACCAAGGTCCAGTAAAATTACCGAGAAAGTTCAATAATTTTACCGAGATTTCTCGGTAAAATCACAAATTCCATGAATGGTAACTTTACCAAGAAAAAACTGGGATCAAATAGAACCCTGAATTCTTGGTAATTTTACCCTTTTCTTAGTAAAAACAGCGAGATTTTTATTTTCAGTGCACCTGTGACTGACAATCAGACTGCGCTACAGTATAACTAGCATTGAAATAAAACAGTCGCGGGCCCAATTTGTGGAGAACTTGTTATGGTGGACGATAGCTAAATTTTCTGATTATCTCATTCGAGTCTCATGTAGACAGTGGCACAACTGAAAGGAGGGGGAAGGGTCCCCCATTATTTGAAAATATTCTCCAGAAAACCGTCATCTTTCTTTGTTTTTTGTAAGTTTTTAACCGTGGGTCCTTCCCCTTTCCGTGAGAAACGTTTGACTGTAGACTTCCTCCATGAAAAATGTCTAGCTACATCACTGCGCACGAGTGATATTTAATGACAAATGGTGATTTTTAGGTTTTAATCAAATTGAATTGACGGGTTTTCACAGGTGTCATTTTATAATATGCCCTGGAATTTGGGTAGAATTTTTGATAAAACCGATGTGCGCGAGGCTCCACACTACTTATGGTGGATCTCTGAGGCGGAAACGTATTATACGCTCCTTTTGATAAGTAAGTTTGGATACTGTATTACATTTCTAGGTTTTGCAATTAAGTTGCAGTATCTGTATTTTCAGGGGTAATTATCTGTATATTTACTTACTATCTGATTGCCGTAAATAGAGAGAAGACAAAAGAGAACAAAATGGATGAAGGTGCAGCAAGGTAATTATACACTCGCGGCTTTTCCAACTAACTAGGGCACAGAAACCACTCCGGTTTTATGCGTTGATGAAAATCGAACTTGTCAGGGTTAGTATCAAAGATTAGCATAAGTGGAAAAACACTTTTATGTGATAATAAGGTTTGAGTAGTGCGCTAACTTTGCTCAACATTTGTCTCTCGTGCGCACATTCGTTTGGTGGAGTAGTAAAACTGATCTGCCAGAACGCAGCGAAGCGCCTTCATTTTCGCTCGATACCCTTAGCATCACCGCGAAGTTAGTTTAGTTGCTTAACCCAACGTAACCTAACTTGGGTTGATACTCTTTAACGCCCAGTGTTTTTACGTTAAAAAGATAACAACTAAACGGCAAAACTGCTTTTATGACTTTTTCACACATCACATGCTCAATATTTTTTACTAAGAATATAAAGGGTACTGACGTATACGCCGTAAAAAAAAATACATTATTTGCCGTTGGTTTAAATAAATCACCCAATGAAGCTTAGAGATTCTTACTGGCATGACTACCGTTCTTTTAAGAAATCGTCGAAGAAAGCATTTAAAAAGGATGGGAAAGCTCACAACTACAATTTTCTATCATTACACCAAGGAGACAGTCGGTTAAATTTTTGATAATTTCAACTTCAGAAAGCTAATTAAACCTAACAATTAGTAATAGTCATCGATTTTTGAATCATCCCTATAATGAGAAAATACCAATATCCCTGTTTACTTGGTACCCCCCCCCCCCCCNGTAGAAATACTCCTTTTCTCACTGTCTCGAAGTTTTTATCGTCTCCTGAAATATATGATTTTTTCAAGATGAGCCGTTTCAAAACTAAGAGGTTCAATTGTTCTGAAATGGCTTACATGTTTCGTGCGTGTATCAGAGTAGAAACCGGAAGCTTTTGCTCAAAGATTTGCTCAACAATACATTTGCATACACTTTGTCATTGCTCTGGACTGAAACTTACCATGCTACCAAGTGGGATTCCTCACACAAAATTTCAACCCTGCTAATATTCTCGTTGTCAGCTCGGTGTCCTTACCTATGCTGAAAGACGAAGGAAAGACGCCGTATGAACATTCGAGAGTTGCCAAATTTACTTCGATAAAATGTTTATTTTTGAGGAAAGTTATGAATATTTTTCCTTTAAATTTTCAGAATCTTTAGGTGAAATTGCGAACAAAATTATCTGAAAAATTGGATGGAAAATTTTCATAAGTTCACCAAAAAATTTGCGTTTTATGGAAAGAAATTTGGCAACGCCTGATGGTTCATACGGCGTTTTCCCTTAGCACGGCAGTATGGATGTGTAACCTCTAATGGAGCAGGTTTGCTAGTCCATGTATGGCTTCCGCCTACTCAACTTTCGGAGCTTTCTAAAGCTTAAATGTTGATTTTGAAGAAAATCATTCGCACCATAGTATTCATTATAAAATTGTACACGGATACTGATAAATAAATAAAAAAAATTCCCGCTACTTGGAAAAACTTCACTTAAAAAATTGTATATTTTAATTTCGCCCAATATGATAAAGACAAAACTTAAAATTATTGGATCACACGCCCAAAAAATTAACTAAGAAATACACAATGCGCAATATCTCTGATGAACTGTCTAGTTGAGTTGGTCACTGCGATTAAGCAGTATATTTTTTCAAATAAATTTTCATTGATAGGAAGGAAAACAAATTGAGCTCAGCTAAGACTTAGAGTCATATTATAAATATACAAACTTATATTTCATTGCAGAAGCAAAATAATTCATTATCTAAAGTCATTTTTAGGGTGAATTTTTGACATTTATCAACTTACGAAGACTTTTGCCAAACGATTTGAGGCCATTCAAGATTTGTTTACTTCAGATGTAAAAAAGGTAAACGCGTAAGGAGGCCCAAGGCTATACTGTTCTTGATATTCTGTTTGATTAAAATATGTGCGCAACGCGTAAGTCCTGTAACACAAGAATAAATACGTTGAATTTCATAAAATTAACAACGATTTCCCTGCGCCTTGCAAAGGGCGCCACATTACGCGTTCAGCATCACACATTCCATGCAGTTAATTTTTTAATAATCTTAAATAATAATGACAAGGAAATGAAAAAATGAATAACACAGACGTCCATGAAAAATTTTGCATTGTTAGACGTCCTAAATCAAAAGTTTGATTTGATCAAAAGTTGAATCACCTTTTAATAAAAATAGCGCTTTCCTTCCTATATATATAAACGGTAAAGTCCATGAACGAATGCGCATGAGCGTAGTCAATTTTTATGACACGGTGAACATTCTTAGGTAAGTGCAGTTTCTCCCGAAAAGTTGCGTCATTTTGAGCATCTTTGGTCACAACGCTGTCGCACCAAGTTAGAGTTCACCCACAAAATAAGTTGCTTGTTGAGTTAGGCAGAAGATCCGCCATTTTGATTTTTGCATTCACTTTGAATGCATGTTCGTGTTAGCATAAATACGTCCAATTCAAGTTATAAACTGATCCAACATTACACGTTGCATGATCGGGTTTGAGATTTTGGGCTTCCGAGCTCAGTTAAAGGAAACTACGTGGGATTCCTTTTCCGAATATTAAAATGAGATACGTGAAATTGTGAATTTTTTTCGTGGACCGATTTAAAATTAAACGAAATGAGAGAATGCAAAGAAGATCGACTAGAGTCTTTGATTGCGGTAAGTCCCTCATGAAATATCTTTTCTACGATTTCATGCATGTCATAATTTTATAGGCACTTGACGATGAACGTTCAAGAGTAAAGTGATACATGAAACGCGCCGTTAAAACTTTATTTTTGTCAGTCGTCGAGCCAAAATGGGTGGATCGTAAGGTTTTGTATTTTTCCTTAATGCAATCATTATTTTTTGGGGCCAAATCGGAACTCACCGGACAGGTAATACTCTCATTTATTTGCGAAGTTTAAGCAGCATACACTTTGTTCTAAATCGCATGGGCATCTAAATGAGTTTTGATATAACAGTTAAATTAAGTAAAATCTTATAAAAAACTTACAGTTTGACTTGTATCGCACAAATATACGAGCCAAAGAGCTGCGCTCAGATTACTAACACTATATGTATAATAATATTCTCATATTTCCTTTTATCGTGCCGAGCTTACAGTTAAATTAATGATGGCCACCTTCTTTCCAATATAGAAGCATACTTCAGTAAAATGGTTCGGGCAGAATATCCATGTCCAATACACAGAAGTTGACAGCTATGGGGTCACCTAAGTCATACTTTGTAGCAAACCTCAAGGCTGAAAAATTCCCTCGATTAAATACGTCTCTGAAAATTAAAAGGGCTGAAGGTTACTAGGAAATCCGAATGAAAAGTTCCATCCTCGTTTTGGAGGCACTCCCTAATTTTGCCTTTTATCTATTCTTATTTTATTTCATTTTTTTCTTTTACTAAAAACATATCAACGTCTTTTTTTTAAATATAACTTCATAGAATGATTTGTCTTTGAAAAATCCAAAAATGAAACCCAGCACTCAAAAAATCACGGTGAGATGAGGAGAAAATTTGCCCCTACCTCTCTCAAACAAATTCCCTCTAATTGTTTAAGAGTGTGAAGAACTCGATGAGATTGAATACCAATTTTAAAATCAAGTCATCAAGTGCACATCGCACACATCAAGTGCAATTTCAGTGTGTGTCTTTAAAGCTCGGAACAAATATTAAGTTTCCTCCTTTTCAAAAACATTGCGTGCATTCTATTACGTATTTTTATCAATTTTTCTTTGTGTACCTTAGGGACTTACTTTCTCGTGTAGATTAATTCATCAGAAAATCCGATTTTCTCTCTGCTGGGCTGCTTGAATAGAAGGAGAACTAATCTATGTTTCCCTGTAAAAGAAACGATATAAATTAGACTCGGTTCTTTTGTCTTGAATGTAATGTGCTTACAAAACTGACGAAATACAAAGTAGAATATTATTACGTATTTCAAGGTTTCCAGTGATAACGGTTCCCTTGAAAATATTGCTTAGTGCTTTATTGATGCCTTGGCTGCTGGTGAATTTGTCTTTCGCTCAACGATCATAATGCTTCTGAGCACCATTTTGACACATGTCAAACTCTGCTCAATTTGTGATATTTTACTAGTTTTAATGCGACAGTTTTGAACAAAGCTTATCCATAAGAAATGGGTGTTTTTCTCGCAGATATTTAGTCAGATATCAAAAACTGAATGGCTAAAAAAAAGGTGAAAGCACGACAAAATTGTACTGAAAAAATACTTGACTCAGACAATCTAACATCAGACTATCAATCAAAAGTTTACTAAAACTTAATGGGTTTAAAGCGCTTGAAATTGACTAGGTTCTTAGTTAATTGCTACCCGGTTGCCATGTTGATGACATTCCTACTTGAATAAATTTTATATCATCCCTGTGTAGTCACCATCGATACCAACAAACAGGACAATGTTGCTGCAGCCATATTTTTGCTTAGTTTTACTTAAAAAAATATCGACAATTATTCTAACCTCAAAGCATGATATTCTACTGCTGAAAGATTTTTTTCCAGCTCTTTGGCTCATAAATAGTGTTGCCCCGAAATGATGGTCATAGGTAGCACTAAAGTGTCAAGACTCGTCTATCTTGTGCCTATCTTAAATGGAGTAAAAGTAGACGATAATGAAATTAATGAAATAACTCCATGCAAAGCCTCAAATATATGAGCATTACTTCCCCTTTCATGTACTTCTACAAACATTTTCTCTCATAAAATCCCGTTCCAATAATCTCTACAGGGTAAACATCTTTAATTTCACAGAAATAGAAATAAGGATAAACAATATTCACCCTGTTCACTCAGTCTCTTTGCACCTAGGGTGACAAGGGGACACAAGAGAGAGAACAAAATGACAATTGCTCAAGTTTAAATACAAATAAGTCAATTAACTTTACCGATGCCATACGGTTCCAGGCCTACGTATGATGCGAGTGTTTCACCTCCTTCAACCCATAAACCAGGTATGTTTACCACGACCCAGTGTTGATATTGCGCTAAACAATGATCATGTTCGCCGGGAAAATCTGGACCTTAAGTTTTAAAATGAAAATGCAGGGGCTCAGTTTATCAGAAATAAAATTTTCTCCAAATAAATGTTTTATCGTGCCGATATAACATCTTTTATAATACATTAAATATTTCATTTAATCCATGTTATACGAATGGGCGGTTAGCGCAGGGAGAAGGGGAGTTGAGGAGGACGTTTCTTACACAAGAAGGGGTAGAGGAGTCCTCCACTTTTCCCTTAAAAAATATGTGATACTATCCTGCCAAGAATGATATTTTAATGCGAATGTATCAATCACGCCCCCACCGCCCTCCCCACCACCCAGCTAATGTTCTATTATATTGACATCTGCAGATTACAAGAAGGGATGGACTAACTTTTTTTCAATGCCCGTTCTTAATTAATGCTTGAGAGTGTCAGGTACCCCACGGTTACGGCTGCTCTTGTATCGCCCCTGGAGCTGAACCGAGCATCAGGGTCGTGCGTCTCATTAGATCCAATTTCGACCTATTTTGTAATATTCGTGCATTCCAGACAGCCAAACATATCAAGTTAAGACTCAACTCGATTAGAAATATTGAGCAGAATGAGACAACATTTTCAAGAATTGTGAGAAACTAAGGTGTTTGTCGCGCCGTAACGCTCGATGCGTTTGAATAAACTTTGATTAATTGGAAACACCCATTGATTGGACCTCTAGAACCATATGATAAAGTTCTTTACCTAAAATTCTAGCCAAAAATTAAAATATTCTCTCTAGCTCCTAGAAAAAAATCTCTTTAACGTTTTGAAGGGTCAAATTTGGAAGCGCAAAAGGAGGACCCTCCACTCTCCATCCCTCCCCGGGCACCCCTTTCCTTCCTTAGGTGGAGTTGAAACTTATACATGGTGTTTCCTGACATAAGGAACGATATTTTTGAAGTATTCAAGACCTCCAAAAAAAATATTTTCCTGGATATTTTTAACAACACTTGGCTCTGAAGCGCAACCGAATAACATCATTCCTTGTTTTAACATTTAATTTCAAAATTATCAACTTGCCAACGCTGTAAAGGTGAAATTTTTGGGATCATGTCGAAGGAAATCGTTTTATCATTCTCAAAGGGGGGAGGCCCCTTGAGAATGATAAAACGATTTCCTTTGAAATTTTCCCAAAAATTCCACCTCCACAGCGGTGGCAGTGGCGAAATAGTAGCTCGAAGCGCTGCGGCAAACCAGTGTCGAAGCGAAGTTATCATTCACAGGAAAAATATGAGATCCTTTAGCTGAGGAGTGGGTGGGGGCGTAATCGATACATTCGCATTAAAATATCATTTTTGGCAGGATAGTATCACACATTTTTTAAGGGAAAAGTGGAGGACCCTTCGACCCATTCTTGTGTAAAGAACGTCCTTTTCAACTCCCCTTCCCCCTGCGCTAACCACCTATTCGTATGACATGGATTAAATGAAATATTCAATGTACTATAAAAGATTTTATATCCGCACTTTAAAACATTTATTTGGAGAATATGCTGTTTCTGATAAACTGAACCCCTGCATTTTTATTTCAAAACTTAAGGTCCAGATTTTCCCGGCGAACATGATCATTGTTTAGCGCAATATCAACACTGGGTCGTGGTAAACATACCTGGCTTATGGGTTGAAGGAGGTGAAACACTCGCATCTTACGTAGGCCTGGAACCGTATGGCATCGGTAAAGTTAATTACCTTATTTGTATTTAAACTTGTGAAATTGTCATTTTGTTCTCTCTCTCTTGTCCCCTTGTCATCCTATGTGGAAAAAGACTGAGTAAACAGGGTGAATATTGTTTATCCTTATTTCTATTTCTGTGAAATTAAAGATGTTTACCCTGTAGAGATTATTGGAACGGGGTTTTATGAGATGAAATGTTTGTAGAAGTACATGAAAGGGGAATAAGTAATGCTCATATATTTGAGGGTTTTTATGGAGTTATTTAATTAATTTATCATTATATTCTACTTTTACTTCATTTAAGATAGACACAAGATAGACGAATTTTGACACTTTAGTTCTACCTATGACCATCATTTCGGGGCAACACTATTTTTTATGAGCCAAAGAACTGGAAAAAAATCTTTCAGCAGTAGAATATCATGCTTTGAGGTTAGAATAATTGTCGATATTTTTTTAAAGTAAAACTAAGCAAAAATATGGCTACAGCAACATTGTCCTGTTTGTTGGTATCGATGGTGACTACACAAGGATGATATAAAATTGATTCATTTAGGAATGTCATCAACATGGCAACCGGGTAGCAATTAACTAAAAACCAAGTCAATTTCAAACGCTCTAAACCCATTAAGTTTTAGAAAACTTTTGACTGATAGTCTGATGTTAGATTGTCTGAGTCAAGTATTGTCATGGGAACGGAGTTCCCCATGATATTACAATCGTTCCGTTGCTTTCGCAATGGGATTCCCTATACCTCTGCGACCTTGAGCGTTTCGCCCAGTCTCCGATTTTTGGTTGATTTTCCGATGTATCAAAAACCGTTGTATTTTTTAGCCAATCATGTCTCTACGTCAAGTTGTGTTGATTGCTAAAATTCGCTTTCAGCGAGTTTTTTTNTTAATATATAGGATACCAATGTCCCTCTTTACTTGGTACCCCCTCCCCCCTTTGAGAATGATAAAACGATTTCCTTCGACATGATCCCAAAAATTTCACCTTTACAGCGTTGGCAAGTTGATAATTTTGAAATTAAATGTTAAAACAAGGAATGATGTTATTCGGTTGCGCTTCAGAGCCAAGTGTTGTTAAAAATATCCGGGAAAATAATTTTTTGGAGGTCTTGAAAACTTCAAAAATATCGTTCCTTATGTCAGGAAACACCATGTACAAGTTTCAACTCCATCTAAGGAAGGAAAGGGGTGCCCGGGGAGGGATGGAGAGTGGAGGGTCCTCCTTTTGCGCTTCCAAATTTGACCCTTCAAAACGTTAAAACGATTTTTTTCTAGGAGCTAGAGAGAATATTTTAATTTTTGGCTAGAATGTTAGGTAAAGAACTTTATCATATGGTTCTAGAGGTCCCATCAATGGGTGTTTCCAATTAATCAAAGTTTATTCAAACGCATCGTGCGTTACGGCGCGACAAACACCTTAGTTTCTCACAATTCTTGAAAATGTTGTCTCATTCTGCTCAATATTTCTAATCGAGTTGAGTCTTAACTTGATATGTTTGGCTGTCTGGAATGCACGAATATTACAAAATGGTTTCAGGGCATTCCGTCAACGATTTTTTGTCCTCACACCTGTTTTGTCCTCACACCTGTTTTGTCCTCACACCTGTTTTGTCCTCACACCTGTTTTGTCCAGTAGTTTACGTCCACGCGTGAAATAAGCAACAGTGACTTGGTCCAAGTGTCATATTTTAGTCCGTATGTAAAATTATATTGCCATAATCAAATGAGAAAATTGAGAGAGACGGAAGAGTTGTTGTGGTAACTCATTTTTTAAATAAAATCTTATTTCCTTCTTTTGATCAATCTTTTTAAATATTCATGGGTGAATATTTGGTTTTATTTCCATCCTTAAAAGTTTTGATGAAAAATAAACCTTATGAATACTTTTTTTACCGACAATTTTACTTTATTTTAAAAACATTTACATTTTTAAAACGTAGCAAATATTTGTAAAACCTTTTCTAAGCGATGGCATCGATATTAAAGTCAATGAGCAGTAGTTGTGTCGAAAGAAACTATGCACACATGAATAAAAGAGGGACAAATCGAGAAGCATGCAATCTTCGGTTTTAGCCGATTTGTACATCGATCTTTCAGAGTCAAATACGTCCTATTTTGAGCGCTTGGTTTCGCTCACACCAGGCTGCAGCACAGTAAAAGCACAAAATATAAAAGAAAAAATTAATGTGCTTTGAAAATCATTAAATACGACGAGGAAACACCTAAATATTTACAAAACACACATTAAATTTTCCGTTCACATATATATATTTTTTTTTATAAATTTAAATTAAAGTAATCCATGCAGAGTGTGCAAATACATAAAAATCATGAGTTGAAAAACGCTGACTCCGCGAGTTTAAATTATAGGTCCTAGTATAAAGCGGAGTGATGCGACGTGCTGCCAGCACGAAACGCGCACTGGCGCCTACAAACCTAAGCAGATACTTCACGCATTGCGCAATGCTTGAGGTATCTCTTAGGTTTGTAGGCGCCAGTGCGCGTTCCGTGCTGGCTGGCTGGCTGGCCGCGCCGCGCCGCAGCTTGCCACGTTCCACGGCGCTTCTTTATTTCACAATAGATGTGTTTTACAGTATATTACGACATTGAAGGCACTCCAACACACCAACAATAAGAATGTCAGGCGTCCTTCAAGAGTACGGAACTTTCCTTGCAAAATAAGTCGAGATAAGAGAGATAAAGGAACATTCTTGAATATGCCGTCAAGAAGATTTTATTTTGAATCAAGAATAAAATAGGTGATCAAAAGCGGATTTCTGCTTGATGTAAGTGACTTTCCTTTTTATAAAAGCTATAAATGACTTTCTTTTTTATAAGTTCTTTAAGAAAACATTATTTTCTTTATTAACTCATAATGAAATCTTCTCGGCGGTAAATTTAGGATATTTTTCTTTAAATTAGGTCACTTGTTCCTCTAATGAAGTTAAAAATCATACTAAACGTTATTAAATACAGATACTAGGACAGTAAGTTTTTCGACTACCGCTCTCTTTTTTTTGTCGTCACTCGATTTAATTTGTGAGGGAACTTCGCGCTTTTGAAAGATGCCTACGTTGGGGTGCCATCGATCTCATATGATACTGTGCAACACCTCCGTGACGAAATAGTAGCTCGAAGCGCTGCGGCAAACCAGTGCCGAAGCGAAGTTATCATTCACAGGAAAAATATGAGATCCTTTAGCTGAGGTAAATCGAGGTTTCCCAGTTCAGGTATAAAAATATGGGATTTTCTTGAAAGATAATTAAGTCCTGTTCCACCAAAGAGGTATAGAGAGTTTTAGTGAATTTTCTTTCATGGAAATGACGCTCCCTCATTTTTACCAAAATCTCAATTATATATTTTTCTCCGTTGAAGCAAACAAAAAAAAAAACAAAAAACAAAAAAAAAAAAAAACAAAAAAAAAACAAGCAAACCCTAATTCTTCCAGGACATTAAAGATTTTCATCCAAAAACGTCGTCAGCAATTGTCATTTGTATTTACATGTGGACCAACTAACTTTGGGTTTCAAGTGGTAAGTGGACCAAAATTCCCCTTCCGAAAAAACGCGTGGATGTAAACTACTAGAAAAAACAGGTGCGCGGACAAAAAATCGTTGACGAAATGTCCAATAACCTTACAAAATAGGTCGAAATTGGATCTAATGAGACGCACGACCCTGATGCGCGGTTCAGCTCCAGGGGCGATACAAGAGCAGCCGTAACCGTGGGGTACCTGACACTCTTTAGCATAAATTAAGGACGGTCATTGAATAAAAGTTATTCCATCCCTTCTTGTAATCTGCAGATGTCAATATAATAGAACATTAGCTGGGTGGTGGGGAGGGGGGTGGGGGCGTGATTGATACATTCGCATTAAAATATCATTCTTGGCAGGATAGTATCACATATTTTTTAAGGGAAAAGTGGAGGACTCCTCTACCCCTTCTTGTGTAAGAAACGTCCTCCTCAACTCCCCTTCTCCCTGCGCTAACCGCCCATTCGTATAACATGGATTAAATGAAATATTTAATGTATTATAAAAGATGTTATATCGGCACGATAAAACATTTATTTGGAGAAAATTTTATTTCTGATAAACTGAGCCCCTGCATTTTCATTTTAAAACTTAAGGTCCAGATTTTCCCGGCGAACATGATCATTGTTTAGCGCAATATCAACACTGGGTCGTGGTAAACATACCTGGTTTATGGGTTGAAGGAGGTGAAACACTCGCATCATACGTAGGCCTGGAACCGTATGGCATCGGTAAAGTTAATTGACTTATTTGTATTTAAACTTGAGCAATTGTCATTTTGTTCTCTCTCTTGTGTCCCCTTGTCACCCTAGGCCCAGGTGCAAAGAGACTGAGTGAACATTGTGAATATTGTTTATCCTTATTTCTATTTCTGTGAAATTAAAGATGTTTACCCTGTAGAGATTATTGGAACGGGATTTTATGAGAGAAAATGTTTGTAGAAGTACATGAAAGGGGAAGTAATGCTCATATATTTGAGGCTTTGCATGGAGTTATTTCATTAATTTCATTATCGTCTACTTTTACTCCATTTAAGATAGGCACAAGATAGACGAGTCTTGACACTTTAGTGCTACCTATGACCATCATTTCGGGGCACCACTATTTATGAGCCAAAGAGCTGGAAAAAAATCTTTCAGCAGTAGAATATCATGCTTTGAGGTTAGAATAATTGTCGATATTTTTTTAAGTAAAACTAAGCAAAAATATGGCTGCAGCAACATTGTCCTGTTTGTTGGTATCGATGGTGACTACACAGGGATGATATAAAATTTATTCAAGTAGGAATGTCATCAACATGGCAACCGGGTAGCAATTAACTAAGAACCTAGTCAATTTCAAGCGCTTTAAACCCATTAAGTTTTAGTAAACTTTTGATTGATAGTCTGATGTTAGATTGTCTGAGTCAAGTATTTTTTCAGTACAATTTTGTCGTGCTTTCACCTTTTTTTTAGCCATTCAGTTTTTGATATCTGACTAAATATCTGCGAGAAAAACACCCATTTCTTATGGATGAACTTTGTTCAAAACGGTCATATTAAAACGAATAAAATATCACGATTTGAGCAGAGTTTGACATGTGCCGAAATGATGCTCAGAGTTATGATGATCGTTGAGCGAAAAATAAATTCATAGGCAGCCAAAACATCAATAAAACACTAACCAATATTTTCAAGGGAACTGTTGTCACTGGAAACCTCCAACAACATAATAATATTCTACTTTGTATTTTGTCAGTTTTGTAAGCACATTTCATTCAAGACAAAAGAATCGAGTCTAATTTATATCGTTTCTTTTACAGGGAAACATAGATTAGTTCTCCTTTTATTCAAGCAGCCCAGCAGAGAGAAAATCGGATTTTCTGATGAATTAATCTACACGAGAAAGTAAGTCACTTAGGTACACAAAGAAAAATTAATAAAAATAAGTAATAGAATGCACGCAATGTTTTTGAAAAGGATGAAACTTAATATTTGTTCCGAGCTCTAAAGACACGCACTGAAATTGCACTTGATCTAATGACTTGATTTTAAAATTGGCATTCAATCTCATCGATTCTTTTACACTCTTAAAAAATTAGAGGGAATTCGTTTGAAAAATGCAGGGGCAAATTTTTTCCTCATCTTACCGTGATTTTTTGAGTGCTTGGTTTCATTTTTGGATTTTTCAAAGACGAATCATTCTATGAAGTTATATTTAAAAAAAGAAGACGTTGATATGTTTTTAGTAAAATAAAAAACTGAAATAAAATAAGGGTAGATACAAGGCAAAATTAGGGAGTGCCTCTAAAACGAGGATGGAACTTTTCATTCGGATTTCCTAGTAACCTTCAGCCCTTTTAATTTTCAGAGACGTATTTAATCGAGGGAATTTTTCAGCCTTGAGGTTTGCTACGAAGTATGACTTAGGTGACCCCATAGCTGTCAACTTCTGTGTATTGGACATGGATATTCTGCCCGAACCATTTTACTGAAGTAAGCTTGTATATTTTAACGAAGGTGGACATCATTAAGTTATTTGTAAGCTCGGCACGATAAAAGGAAATATGAGAATATTGTTATACATATAGTACTAGTAATCTAAGCGCAGCTCTCTGGCTCGTATATTTGTGAGATACAAGCAAACTGTAAGTTTTTTTATAAGATTTTACATAATTAAACTGTTATCAAACTCATTTAGATGCCCATGTGATTTAGAAAAAAATGTATGCTGCTTAAACTTCGCAAATAAAGGAGAGTAATACCTGTCCGGCGAGTCCCGATTTGGCCCCAAAAAATAATGATTGCGTTGAAGAAAAATACAAAATCTTACGATCCACCCATTTTTGCTCGACGACTAACGACGAAAATAAGTTTTAACGGCGCGTTTCATGCATCACTTCACTCTTCATCAGGCATCAGGGAGCATCAAATGCTCATCATCAGGTGACTATAAAATTATGACATGCATGAAATCGTAGAAAAGATGTTTCATGAGGGACTTACCAATCAAAGACTCTAGTAGCTCTTCTTTGCATTCTCTTATTTCGTTCAATTTTAAATCGATTTACGAAAAAAAAAATCACCATTTCACGTACCTCGTTTTAATGTTCGGAAAAGGAATCCCACGTTGTTTCCTTCAACTGAGCTCGGAAGCCCAAAATCTCAAACCCTATCATGCAACGTGTAATGTTGAATCAGTTTATAACTCGAATTGGACGTATTTATGCTAACACGAACAAGCATTCAAAGTGAATGCGAAGATCAAAATGGCGGATCTCCTGCCTAACTCAACACTTATTTTAAAAGCCCACCCAAGAAGGCTCCGAGACGTACGGCCTTGGATTGGAGAAAAATAGAAGCATTGCTTAGAGATAATGTACTTTTGTTGCTTCATAAAACTTGTAATTTAATTTCTTTTCATTATCTCTTTCATTATTTGACGAAAGGTAAAGAGAGGAAGCAACTTATTTTTTTAAAAATGAAAAATAATGGTCAAAGTTTTCTTTTAGAAAAATCTGTCAAAGGTCTCCATCTGCATAAGAATTGAGGTAGATTATTGCGTGAGGTGCAAGCAGTTATTTTTCCGTTTGACGGGTATACTGCCTTGCTCAGGAAGAACGCCGTATGAACATTCGAGAGTTGCCAAATTTCCCTTGATTAAAAATGTATTTTTGACAATATTCATGCATATTTCTTTTCAAAGTTTTCAGGTATTTTAGATTAAATTGCGTACAAAATTGTCTGAAAATTTTGGAAAATAATATTCGCAATTTCTTCCGTCAATTCGGTTTTTATCGGTGGAAACTTGGCAACGTCTGAAGGCTCATACGGCATTCTTCCTTAGCACGGCGTATACTACGTAGTGCAATGTGGATCTTAGCGCCTTGATACAACTATACGTGCTCGATGGACGTCCGCGTTGCATATGCGCACAATTGAAGGCATTTTGAAATTTCTCGCCGTTGTAGTGATGCATGGAACTCGGGGTACCAGTTAAAGTGTTACAGCACTTCTCCTATGCTCAGGAAAGACCTTGTGGACATTCGGACGTTGCCAAATCGCTGCTGACGAGAAGCCAGTATTGTTGATTAAGTACATTTGTTTTGTTTTTGTTTTTAAATTTCTCAATATTGCAGGTTTTATCTGATGTGTCCAAGAACTTTGAAGAAAAGTATTCATAAAAATTTGTCAGAGGAAATTTTGAAACTTTAGAATGCTCATACAGTCTTTCTATCGAGCTAAAAAAGGACGCCTTATAACGTTCACGCATATCTCCTAACGAAGCTTAATACAAAACGAATTCAGGTACCCACTTTCACGGGTATAGGGTTTACCGTTATCGCGGAATTAGAGTGAATTTCTCAGGACCCTGAAATTCAAATTGTCCCACCAAACGGTCCCATGTAAAGTAAAATTTTAGTCGTTTTGGGTCATTAAGTGCTTATAACTTTTTGAAAACTCAATGGATCTCAATGAAACTCTTCCACTTTGTAGTCCTAATTGAGATGCGTCCGTAGACACGAAGATCGTAGGAATCCGTGCCGTCGTCTGGGCTGCAGTCGAGTTCAAACCGAATCAATTTTCAGATTAAGGGAGTTGCCTGTGACTAAGAGTGTCGGCCACCCGTTTGCTATCAGGACTTTAGTAGGACGTCATTTTCCTCGACCGAGGGTGGCTACCGCCACTCTTGAAATGCACACGGATTGCAAAAAGCGACCCGTTCGAGAACGGCGCGCTTGAAAACTCGTAAGATGAAAAATTCATAATAAATTAATATTTTAACCGAACTCAATTTTTCATCATGAATGAAGAAGATAAGAAAAAGGTATGCGAGGGTGTGAATATCCAAGAGATGTTTCGTCCCCTCTAAGAAAATTCTCTGTAGAATATGCCTTCCTACAAGATAAAGTTTTTGCTCCCCACATTCCGAGAAAATGACCCCCCCCCCCCCCNNCACGAAAATAAATGGGCAGGGGGAGGGGAAGAGGATGAGAGGGAGCTGTCGCGTATTACGCAACATTTCTTCCAAATTCACCCCAAGATAGTGTTTTGTCCGTCCTTTTCTCCCTCATTTCTTCTGTCTCTTTCTTAGTTTCTCATGACAAGCATTTTAAGGCCTTCAGCCAATAATATTTGAATAATTTCTACCCCAGATAATTTTTTTCAAGGAACGCAGACGTTGCATGTAGGTTCTCAAAGATAATTTTCTTATTCAAAACCTAGTTATTGTGCATTAAATCCGCTCTATTTGCTAAGAAATTCGAAGAGAAAAGCAGATTACAAATGCGTTACATTCATTCTCTAAATTTTCACTCTCAGCAATTATTTTTACTACATTTGCTCTTATCTTAGGTTTTTGATGTGCTCTGCCATCTCAAAATCCTCAGGTCCTTCGGTGGTGATCTGGAAAATATGGTCCGTGTAAATCTGGGCTTAATCTACGTGGGTCATCGTGAATCTGTACTCGAATTCATTCATCACATCTTTTTCGTGAATGGTGAAGTTGCGAGAACCAGGATTTAACTAAATAAAATTAATTCTCTAAATGTTTACTTTCAGCTATTTTTTGTTCTTACATATGCGCTTATCTTAGGTTTTTGATGTGCTCTGCCACCACAAAATCCGCAGGCTCTTTGGTGGTGATCTCGAGAATATGGTCCGTGTGATTTTTGGCGTAATTGACGTATAAACTGTGACATATAAAAAAAAAATTGAAAATATTTTCATTCAGCACGAGGCGGTAATGTTTTTAGTATTCATAGCAAGCATTAATGCGGTTAACTAGTTCAATTTTACCGTTATTCAGTGATGGAAGGTAAGAAAATTTATGAGGCTGGTACAAGGAAATCCAAAGAAGTAACTTATGGTTCAATTTTTACACTGAATTTTGACTCACTGAAGACTCTTTTCATTATAACTACTCACAATTACTTATTTCTATAGTGGATCTTAATGGCTCCTCAACTTTATTAAAATCATTCTAGCACTCTAACAGTAATTTTTTGTTTTCCTCCTAATCGACAATCACGTATTAACCAACTGGAGTTATTTGATTTCTTTCTAATGTTTCTGACTACTTATCCCAGACACTGACGTAAGTTCCGTTGCATTAGATTATCGAACTTATCAGTAAATCACATTCAACGTTATAGTGTTGCGCTCCAGGGCCGTTCATGTATTCGTAAAGCTGGTGAAGTTCAAAGGATTCAAAGGAAAATTCAGAATATTCCAGTTTAGTAAGTGTCTGTAGCGTTAAGACACTGCAGTATGCTTTGAATTAAAACCCACTTTCTTCATCAGGGACTTTATTTTCATTTTTTCTATTTCTGTTTTCAGGTGAAACTACAGACAGTAAACCAGTTTCAAGATGAACGAGCTACTCGATTTATTGCGTGTTCTTATTCTATATAAGCAGTTTTTAGTCGGATGTTTAATTTTCTTAGTCTACCATCTCCCGTTTAAATCTGCTCAAAAATTAGACGCAAGTACAATCAAGGATTTAGAACAAAAAATGAAGACGCAACATTTTGAAGAAATCTTAGGAAAGCCAGCGGAACATCTAATCGAAGTAGGTATATTCGCTTAACAAGACGGGCTACTTGCTTGATTAGGTTAGGATTTGCAAAATACAGGAGGAGATTGCTGAGGAGAGGGGGATATTAGAAAAAATAAAAAACCGTCAAAGATGTAAAAATGAAAGAGTTTTAAAGAATCACAATTGAATCTGATGTTGATTTAATTATGGGAATAATCGCTCCAAGGGTTGAGGGGAAAGACCAGAACTTTCGATTGCCCTTTGCTAATGACAATCATGGAAATCTTGCATCATCATGCTGTCAAACAAAAACCAGTAATTCCAAGTTTGTTATGAAATCACTAAAGGAAAGCACACGCGTTTCAGTTCATGTGATGGACTTTTATGCCTCAAATCCCAGAAATTTTCAATTTGGTGTTGACGCAATCAATCATGAGGAAACAACTCTTAGCATGGAACATAACTTAATACTGAGTCGCTCAGCACCAAGTATACCCTATACGCTCTTCTCTGCATGAAGTAATTTTCTCTGTTTTGGGGACTTATATATTTAATTATCGAGGAATAATGTTCTTTTAAATATATGCCCTAGCTAGCTTTTGATCTTATTTTTTTCCGAACTAACGAAATTAAAAAGTTACATGGAGTATCAAATCTCTATCCCATTCTCTAACGGGATAGTGGGGAGGAACCTTTCGAAGAGAGCTTTTTTAATGTAACATTTTGTGAAAAATTCGAAAAGTTCATTACTGGAACCGTTAAATGCTCAAGCCGAGTCAAACTGATTCGAGGCTTGCAGAAAACACGCGGCCCACAGGTCGTACTGATCCTGTGCGTACAAACTTTAAAATGTCTTCAAACACATCGTAAAAAAATATAAAAATTGAACACAAAAAAAAATCGCGTGTCAGGGAATTTTTTGACAACTAGCCCTAGAAATCTATAGCCGGGTCAAATGGACATGACTGTCTCTTTTACAGAAGATATGGGGCCGGTAAATGCGAGCTTCCCGAATCCGAACGACACCTCATTTGCCGCATAGAACGGAGCATTGTGAGTTAACACTTTACGCTTTAGCACCTTCAATTTAGCAGATGCAACACGCACATCCATCAAGCACGAATAGTTGTATCTCTGCGCCGACATCAACGCGCGTCCTTTCCCTGCCTCTATCCCAAGTTGTGTCGGGTCCGTATGTCTCATTTGTAAAGGGTGTTTCAAGGGCAACGTGAGCAATACAGCCGCAGATGGGAGGAACGTAATTCAGCCTTGTTTCTTAACTTTTCTCCCGAATCTGAGGAACACCTCACTGGCAGCATACAGCGGAACATTGCGAGTTCACGCCTCCGCCATCGCGCCTTCAATTTTGTGGATGCACAATTGCACAGGGCATTCAGCCAGCACGAATACTTGGAGTACATTCTGCGAAAAGGAACCAGGAGCATTGCAATGTTGCTAATTGTGCAACTTCTTTTGTCTCAGAAGAAAAACCTGATTATCAATCGACAGTTTCTGTTTGACTCGTTAAAAACTGTGAATTTAAGACACAAATCACCGTGTAAAGGAGGGGTATCGTTAAGGGCCTGTTTTGCCCCCCCCCCCCCCCCCNTGAAATTCCTCAACTCCGCAATTTTTTGGTCATTAACGTTCTATATTTTACGAAATGCATAATGGTTTGGTCATTTCCGACCTATTTCGGGGTCTACCACTGGCCTAAACATGGGTCTGAAGGCCAATTTTGGCGAAAAATTCTGGTTTTTCGGCATTCAACGCGCTGTTTCATACCGATCCCTTCGGAGGACAAAAAGTCCTTCAAGCATCTTCATAAAAGATGTAAGAGAGTCACTTTGGCCAATTTTCGTTGTTGTCAAACTTTGCGCTCATAGTTAAAAAAAACTTTTTAGAATTTTCCTGCTTTTTATCATTATTTGAAATGGCTTAAAAAAGCGACTCATCTTACGCCAGAGTTTAACTTTTTTGGCAATAAATGGAGACCTTCCTCAAGAAACTTTTTTGGATTCAAAGTCCCCCCAATAAGCCGGTGTTGCCATATTTCATCGCCTGAATTCACGGAAAAGCTAGTATTTTAGAATTCGGAGGCTGTCCCTCGTCAAGAACATTCCGCAAGTTCAGAAACCTTTATTTTTCACACGCAGTGCCCACATTTGTAGGAATTTTATGCATGTTTTATCTATCTATGTATTTATCTCCCGCTGTGGCGCAGCGTTGCCACATGTTATTCGTGAAGAAAAATTCGCGTTTAGGTGGTTTTGCGCCATTTTTTTTCGGATCATGCCTATGGAATAAATATGTAAGAAAGGTGCAAGTGGATCATTAATATGTGCCGGTATTCATTTTTCTAAGATCATGCACCTGCAGACGACCCATTTTCTTACGAATTCTCGGAATGATAAAGAAAAAAGAAAAAAAAGAAAAAATTAAGGAGCGTAATTCTGAACGATCGTTGTCATTATTAATGAGTTTAGGGGGGCGAGGGAGGGGGGCTATCAGGGTTGGTAGAGTATAACCTTCAGAACTTGTGACTTTGATACATTAATTCCGTTCCTTGATTTTCTTTTCTTAGATCTCATAGTAAAACTGCATGAGTATGGATGTACCACGGCATGCATGAGACTTGTGATGCTTGCTCAAGCACCCAAAGGCATACCGACTTGCAGTACTTATTAAATTTGTATTGCTACAGCTCGAGTGGGATCATGGGAAATATGAGGTCAAAGCGGGAGACGAGGTAGATATAGAGAAAGTGTACAAGAAACCATCAAAAGTCACTTGGGATGCAGACCTTGATTACTACTACACGCTCCTGCTTTATGGTAAGTAATCAGTTTTATGCTTAAAATGTTATTATTTATTCACTTAAGATCGAGATTTTTAACCACCACACACGAGATACGTGATTTAGTGGATTCATCGTCGGAATACAGCTCGCTCAAGTAATCAAACAAGACTTACGTAAAAAAAATAAAAAAAAAAATCCCTTTCCTATCATAAATTATTAAAATTGACTTTGCAACTGGTTGCCTCAAATGAAGTAACAACTAAATTATGAGTTTAAGTTGATAATATGCTTCCCCTCTGATTTCAGATTACGATAATCTGCGTGGCTTCGTTCATTGGATGATTGGAGATATTCCCGAAAAAAACTTAACAGCAGGAACGACTTTTTACGACTATTACGGCCCCAAGCTTTTTGAAGAAGGAGGTGCGTAATTTTACACAAACATAAGAAATTCCATTGGTAACCAGCTTAAAGTTGAGTTCTTAGTTTCTTCTGGGCTAATTAATTTTTATTTCCTCCCTTTCATTGTACATTTTTTTGGTTCTTTTCCTTTCCTTATTTTGATCAAAAAATTAGGAGAGGGAGAAGCGCGATACTTTTCATTGACTCTCATCTGTTTTTGTTTTTCATGACATACTGGGGAATTATGAGTCGTTTCAGCTTCCCGCGTGTCCAAAATGCATTTTGTGCATTATTCGTGGTCCAGGGTTATTGAGATTTTCTTCAAAGCAAACGGAAAGACATAACTTCCTGAGCGATCGAGACAACACCTTGTACCTTCCCAAACGCTATAAAGATTATAAAATGACTGATGCTGTTCTTCACCAACGGTGGGTCTCATTCGGTTTCGTATCCCATCAGGAGCAAAAGTTCGAGCGAAGACGAAGATAACCGAAGAGTCGAAGATTTCCATAGTTTCTTATAAGACTCTTCTGCTCTAGGACTTCTGTAAACGAAAGTGAGTGCCCAACAAACAATTCAAAATTAAATCCCTTATTTTGAAAACTCCCTCAAGAATCCATTTTATTATCAGAAAAAAAAATAGGACGAGAAGAACTAACTATTTTAAACACGCATGCAAATACAACATTAATGACCTCATAAAGACAATACGAGGCAATAGAATAGGGGAGATTCTAATAAGATAAAGATCATCGAGCTGATATTTATGATCCAGGATCCATATACATGTTCACATTCGGTTAAACTGAGAATAGAATATGACTGACGGTAGGCGATGGATTGATTTAAAGCAATGGATTAATGAGTTAATTAATTTTTTTTTTTTTTTTTTTTTATTTTTTTTATTTTTTTTTTAAAGTGTAATGCACTCATGGGCTTACAAGTAGATTGAGCTATCAAGTATACAGTAAATTATAAGCCACATTTGACAGGAACGCATCAAATCTCATTTTGGAGAAAAATGAATTGGAAAGATTTGTTAATCCAATTGATCGTAAATTTTCCCGTGTCAAAAATTACAGTCGGGAAAAATGTTTTAAACGTAAGAATAATCGTTAAATTTTGTCCTTAACATCGGTTTGACGGAGGGTTAAAACTTTCTATCACTATTTCTCTGTTTAAACTGTGCGGCTTGGTGCATCTCTTTTAAACTTGGTTTAAGTGGTTAACCCGCGATAAAACGCGAATACCAGCAGCCGGGGTCATATGACTTCATTTTGTTACATCTTGTCCAACCAAAAGCCACGATCATAAAAGAGTCTCTGATAATTATGGAGCACGTAAATTCTTTCTCGTAAAAAGAAAAAAAAATAGTATTATTAGAATGCTTATCAGGCTTATGAATTAAAATTCTAATCGATAAAAAACTTGGTACGATGCATCGAGGGAACAAAAAAGAAGAACAATAAGAGTAGGGCTTTAGGTATAAGCGCCTAAAATCATATCTCGTCCTCAGCAGCATCAAGGTTAGTTTTTTATGAGAATGACCCACCAGACCATCCATTGAAACTACAGCCATGAAACGTCGTCGCATAAGGAATTTTTGTTGAGATCAGTCAACATATCTAAAGGTGTCTTTTTTTTATTTTGTTGCAGACGTGCATCGATATGTTATGGTGATTTACAGACAGAATGGGAGAACAATTCGTTGGGCGGAACCATTTGTGCAGAGAAAGTAAGTATTCATTCTTCAACCCTTATTTTGTTCGGGCGGACGCATTTAGAGTAGCACTTGGCTAAATAACGTTTTGGCGGGAAAGAAGCTTCTAAAGTTGAGTCCTCCGAGCGCAGAAAAGCTTCTATGAGGTTTCTGTCAAATGAAATAATACGGTTTTGACAGGAACATGTTCTCAAAGGTTTCCAATTAGCAGTTCATTCGGTTTTTTGGTAAACGACCATCAGGGCTTGACAGTAAAACGGTTCAAAGACAAAAAACGGGTCAGAGGAAAAAAATATTTGGACGACCCGTTGGCTAGCATTGGTTGATCGGTGTGCTGTGCTATGGTACATCCGAGTGATTTCAAAAAGCGAGCCCTACTGGCACGCTTAAAAATTAACTGCATGGAATGTGTGATGCTAAACGCGTAATGTAGCGCCCTTTGCAAGGCGCAGGGAAATCGTTACCTATTAATTCCATGAGATTTAACGTATTTATATCCTTGTGTTACAGGACTTACGCGTTGCGCGCATATTTTAATCAAACAGAATTTCAAGAACAGTATAGCCTTGGGCCTCCTTACGCGTTTACCTTTTTTACATCTGAAGTAAACAAATCTTGAGTGGCTTCAAATCGTTTGGCAAAAGTCTTCGTAGGTTGATAAATGTCAAAAGTTCACCCTAAAAATGACTTTAGATCATGTAATATTTTGTTTCTGCAAGGAAATATGAGTTTGTATTTATAATATGACTCTAAATTTTATCTGAGCTTAATTTAATTTAAAGTTGAACTTATTTTTATCGGGCTGCATTATGTTGATGAAAATTACCTTTCTCCCGATCACTTTTTATCCGGTGTTCTCAGACGATAGCTATTTCGATGATATAAATCATCATCATCAGGTCTTCGACTTCGACTTCGGTAAACACTAACGGTCACATCTTAAATTGTTAAAACTTACTAAAATTTACTAAGATTTACTAAAATTTACTATAAAACACTTTAAAAACTCGTGGGTGCACCCGTCGCGAACGCGTTCTTATCACCGGCGTTCCGGCCGTTGCGTCATCGAGTCGAAGTCGAAGACCTGATGATGATGATTTATATCATCGAAATAGCTATCGTCTGAGAACACCGGATAAAAAGTGATCGGGAGTGAGCTTAATTTGTTTTCGTTCCAATCAATGAAAATTTGTTTGAAAAAATATGTTTAATCGCAGTGACCAACTCAACTAAACAGTTCATCAGAGACATTACGTGTTTCTTAGTTAATTTTTTGGGCGTGTGATTCAATAATTTTAAGTTTTGTTTTAATCATATTGGGTGAAATTAAAAAATACAATTTTTAAAAGAAGTTTTTCCAATAGCGGGTCTTTTTTTTATTTATTTATCTGTATCCGTGTACAATTTTGTAAGGAACACTATGGTGCAAATGCTTTTCTTCAAAATCAACACTCAAGCTCAAGAAAGCTCTACAAGTTGAGAGGATGGAAGCCATACATGGACTAGCAAACCTGTTCCATTAGAGGTTACGCATTCATACTGCCGTACTAAGGAAGAATGCCGTATGAACATTCGAGAGTTGCAAAATTTCCCTCGATAAAAATGTATTTTCGACAACAATCATGCATATTTTCCCTTGAAATTTTCAGTTATTTTAGATTAAATTGCGTACAAAATTGTCTGAAAATTTCAGAAAAAATATTTACAATTTTTCAAGTATATTCGGTTTTTATCGGAGGAAACTTGGCAACACTCGAAGGTCCATACGGCGTTTTTGCTTAGCACGACAACATAGGTAAGGACACCGAGCTGACAACGAGATTATTCAGGGTTGCAATTTTGTGTAAAGAATCCCACTTGGCAGCATGGTAAGTTTCAGTCCATAGTAATGACAAAAGTTATGCAAATGTATCATTGAGCAAATATCTGATCCAGAGCTTCCCGTTTCTACTCTGATACACGCACAGGACATGTAAGCCGATTCAGAAAAATTGAATCTCTCAGTTCTGAAACGGTTCATCTCAAAAAAATCATATATTTCAGGAGACGATTAAAACTGCGAGACAGTCAGAAAAAAAATGATCGCATTAAAAATCCCGCAATAAAATGATCACAGTAAAAATCCCAAGTTGAGTCGTTTTCGGACCGAGAGATTCAATTCAGCCAACATATTTTTTTTTTCACGGAACGCAAACGCTGTAGGTCCTCAGAGGAAATGTATTTTAATTTATAGCCTAATTAATATACATTAAATGTGTTCTATCCGTTAAAAAATTTACAGTGAATAGCAGAATACAATCGATTTAAATTCATTCTCTAAAAATTTCCTCTTAGCTTTTATCATTAGTTCAACAGTAGACATTCAAACATCCCTAATAAAATGATTCGATTGAGGCGGACAGAGCAGGATGTCAAATGTTCGGCAATACAGATGTTCAACGCACTACCCTGGAGTGTGAAGCTACACTTCCGCAATGCTGACCTGAGGTCGTTCTTTAATGGGCTGCATGCTTTCTTATTCGAAAAATGCATTCTATATCCTTCAGAAACTTGTAGGCTAGTATAATTTTACACTTGTATCATATGTTTATCAATATGTATATCAGTAAGCATGTACCGAATAAATGACGTGTGCCATGGCCTCGGCCAGAGGCTCACTTGTACAAATTATATAAATAAATAAATAAATAAAAATAAACACATTATTTTTATTATTTTAATAGGCGCTTATCCTAGGTTCTTGATGTGTTCTGCCATGTCAAAATCTTCAGGCTCGACGGTGGTGAACTCGAGAATATGGTCGGTGTGATTTTTGGCGTAATCGACGTGGGCCATCGTGAATCTGTGCTCGAACTCATTCATCACATCTTTCTCGTGGATCGTGAAGTTATGGAAGGGGGAGTAAGGGTGGAGAATGTCTTCATACGGCTCCCATTTGGCGGTGAAAAAGTTCCCAGCCACCGGATCGCCCAGTTTGTATTTCATGGCAAATTTCCGCGCGGAGAAGTGGGAGCGCTCCATGTCGTAAGGTCTGAAATTATATTCGAGTTCAAGAAGTGATAGTTATACAGGACATGGTTGCAGGAATCTCTAAAAATAACGAAGGGAGTGGTCTTGGTAGCCTTAATTTATATTTTCTAACCTTATTTTAAAAGCCCACCCGAGAAGGCTCCGAAACTTACGCCCTTGAATAGGAGGAAAACAATCCTAACTAGAAACATTTCTTGAAGACAATGCACTTTTGTGGCCTCGTAAAACTTTTTAATTTGATTTTTTTTTTCATTATTTCTTTCATTATTTGATGAAAGTTTAAGAGAGGAAGCAACTTATTTTTTTAAAAATTAAAAATAATGGTCAAGGTGTTCTTTTAAGAAAATCTGTCAAAGATCTCCATCTGGATAAGAATATAGGTAGGTAGATTATTGCGTGAGGTACATTCAGTTATTTTTCCGTTTGACGGGTATACTGCCCTGCTAAGGAAGAACGCCATATGAACATTCGAGAGTTGCCAAACCCTTGATTAAAAATGTATTTTTGACAATATTCTAGCATATTTCTTTTCAAAGTTTTCAGGTATTTTAGATTAAATTACGTACAAAATTGTCTGAAAATTTTGGAAAATAATATTCGCAATTTCTTCCGTAAATTCGGTTTTTATCGGTGGAAACTTGGCAACGTCTGAAGGCTCATACGGCGTTCTTCCTTAGCACGGCAGTATACCACGTAGTGCAATGTGGATCTTAGCGCCTTGATACAATTATACGTGCTCGATGGACGTCCGCGTTGCATATGCGCACAATTGAAGGCGTTTTGAAATTTCTCGCCGTTGCAGTGATACATGGAACTCGGGGTACCAGTTAAAGTGTTACAGCGCTAATCTCCTATGCTCAGGAAAGGCCTTGTGGACATTCGGACGTTGCCAAATCGCTGCTGACGAGAAGCCAGTATTGTCGATTAAGTACATTTGTTTTGTTTTTGTTTTTAATTTTCTCAACTTTTCACATTTTATCTGATGTGTCCAAGAACTTTGAAGAAAAGTATTCATAAAAATTTGTCAAAGGAAATTTTGAAACTTTAGAATGCTCCATACAGTCTTTCTACCGAGCTAAAGAAGGACGCCTGATAACGTTCACGCATATCTCCTGACGAAGCTTTATAAAAAACAAATTCAGCGGTAGATACAGAATATTTATCTAAAAATTTTTCAGTCAATTTTGTTCGCATTTAATCTAAATTATCTAAGAATTCCAAGGCAAAGAATGTATAATTCTCTTCAAAAATTCAAGTTTTATCCGGGGAGATAGGCATCTCTTGAATGTACATACGGCGTATTTCCTTAGCATGCCATGTTCTCTCCTTAGCACGGCTGTGAATCTCAAAATTTAACCTTTCCCTCAACCCTTTTGTATTTTTACTGATATTTCCATGTAAATTTATTATTGTTACTGCCCTCTTTAGAGGTGTAAATGGCCTTAGATGCTAAAGCACCGCTTAAAAATAAAATTATTTTACTACTACTACTGTTAATATTGTCATATTATATATATGTTGTCTTGATCAGCGAGGAGTAGCACAGAATCAACGATCAAGTGCGTAAAATGATTATCATCCGTGTTTCTGTAATTGCGTTTCAGTATATGTTCACACCGTTGCTCCCCAAGACTTTATCTTCTTTTTTGCGTGACCCGTGAAAAGAATGTAGTTACATGGAATTCACGGCTCACGTGAATATTGAGGCACGCCCTAATGTCAGTGGAGCGACGCGATTATCGTTATGAAAACTTTGATTGGACGTATTTCTGTCAAACGGAACTGTGTGCATTACGACATGTGCTCTAAGACCCTAAAGATTTTAAAGTCATAACAGGACTCACGTCACAATGCACATATATACTTAGCTCTGTTTGGCAGAGGAACGATCAGTTCACAAGAAGTCAATGTGGAAGTTAAAATCTTCATGCTTGTATGCAAAATTGATCACTTACGGCAATTTCAGTCTCGGCTCCGTGAAATGAATATGCTCATTGTTTGGTTGATGGTACATCAAAAATATATACCGATGGATATCTAAAAATTTACGTCAAAGTCGAATTATTAATATTTATTCATAGAAATGAAAAAAAAATAAATAAATAAATAAATAAAAAAGTAATGAATGCGGTCTTATCCAAGAGTGCGGGTAGTTTTTTAATCATTCTTTAGAAGAGAGCAAGAATTTTTCGTTTTCTTTTTTTGCTAATTATTTATTTGTTTAATGTAGGGACAGTTTGTAAAACGTAAACAATTCATTTCATGGATGGTTTTGCGCACTATGTCCTTACATCTTTATATCTATATCGACGCACATACATTCAAGTCGCTTTTACAGCACGCCCCGGCGCTCTGCGACACCTAATCGCCATTCTTGTCCATAGATCCAGAGGTCATCTTGTGTCTCTTTATATCTTCAACGGGTAATAAAAAAGAAGATACTTGGAAAAAAAAGGATGGCAAAGTCAATTCCAGAAAAAAACACAACGCCCTCTCAAGTTGGCGGCTTCGTTCCACAAAAATGGATAGTACAAAGTAAACAACTTAAAGTGGGAATAAGACCCCAAAAATCAAACATAAAAAACCGGGACGTTTCGCAGCTATCACAAGCGCATTTTCAACCTGAAATGAAAAAGATAAATAAAAAAACCTCAAATTTACAGAGCCTCGCCGCTTTTATATTGTGACTCCTATTTTGAGTTGTTTATTTTGTAATATCACTTTGGGCCAATTAAGTTGTTTTTCAAAAATTGATATCATAATGATTTCAGGAAAATTGTAATAACCTTAGTTTGGTACCTAAAGAAGCGTATTTCACATTTAAAGACCGTTTAATGCATTTATCCTCTTGTTTTTGATATGACAGTGATAAATATTAAAAATTACTGAGATGCTTACAAATACAAACGTATTTACCTAAGCCATGACATTCTTTGATTCCTCTGTATTCGGTGAGCTCCTCACCTGCCCATATTCTTCCCCAAGGAATGTTCACCACAATCCAATGTTGCCACTCTCCTTTCCAGGGATCTTGTCTAGATGGGACATCAGGATCTGTAAAGGCGGTATGAAATGGAGGATTTGTGGCGCCTAGATCAGACGCGCAGCTTCCCCACCAGTCGCACTTCCACCTATCAGCGCCCTGCACCAGCGCGCTCATCGCGGATTGGCCACCTCGCAGCAGCCAATCCGCGTCGTCAGTTCCGCCATTCTGTCTGTCACACTGGCAGAAAAGCTGCGTGAGCTAGATACAGACGCCACAGATTTATTTATCGGATTTAACACTGAGTGTGAGTGATTCACATGACTTTTCTCGTCAAGCGAAAGTTGAATGTGCATTGTACTTCGATGGCGAAAGTGCGAAACAAAGTATCTCTTTTTGGGACGTCTAGACCTCTTGTCATACTTTATTTTTCTTCGGAATATTAGGCAACATGATTCATGGGCGGATCCAGAGGGGGGCGTAGGGTTCCCAGGTAGCCCCCCTCCCCCGGTTCGCCCGCAAATTAGGAGGAGGAAAAAGGAAAGAAAGAAATAAGGAAAGGAACGGAGAAAATAAGAAGAAGAAACGCTTATATTTGGTGATCATTCATAATGAAATGATCTCAAACTGCGTATTAGATATTTTAAAATCTCCACATTTTTTGGGGGAGGGATCCACGCGGACCCCCTTTTTGCCCCTCCGTTTTTGTTTCTTTAAATGATTTAAGGCCTGGTATTGAATATTACGAATTATCCGAAAAATGTACGGCTCTTTTTCAAGGTTCCAAGTTCAGCAAAAAAGTTTCTCCATTCAAATGTACGTGAAACATTTCGCTTAGCCGAGGAAAAGTCCGAAACTTAATGCGGTTATTCACTGTTGCTCAGTTTGAAACGTGTGGCAACTAAAAATGGGAGAAAATGGGAGTGCACTCTAATATTTATGACGAAAATAAGGACAGTACATTTAAACTGGGTTACTCACCTATCATTATCAGCGTATGTAAGTGATTAGCTTCATCAATTGGCCACCTCACGAACGTTGGTGCCAACCTTGTTATGTTAGGTTTTATTTTATTTCCAAAGCTAATGACGGTATCCACCCACTTTACCTGCAAATTAATTTTTTGATTGATGAATGAAATACACATGACCATTAACACCATTCCATATACTCTCGCGAGAACTTCGAGTATTGCTTTACTAGACATTCGCTTTCTTAGAGGGTTAATTTTATAATTTAATAAATAATTGGACGTATATCCCTACTAAACGGAACTAATAGACGAGTGCGGGAAAGATGAGGTGTGCTCTGGAAAGCTGGATAAGAAACAATGTGTAAGTGAGCGTGATTTTTTTTTGGAGAAATGAAAAATCGGGATTTTACATTCTACCAAACAGAATTAAGCGCTAACTATATGCGGTACTCATGAGCCGTGGGCATGGCATGGTAGACGAGTGCGTTACCACTTTGCTATTCGAAATAATATCAGGTACTACTGAATTCACGCTACATGAAGGAGCTAAACTAATTCGTCCGTCGTTGGTGATATTCACGCTCTGATCTATTCACACAAAGTGCGCTGGATTCGCGCTGGATTTTTTTTTCTCACGCCGGCTATTCACTCAGAGTAAATCATTGATTTTGAACAGTGCACAGACTGAAAAACTGTAAAAAATAAGGTTTATCAATTAAAATAAGAAATGATTTTCAGTTTTGGTTCAACTAGAATGACGTTTCGATCTTACCTTGAGCTCGCGTAGCGGTGCTTTTGGGATAATATTTGGGACGATTCCTGCCTTCTCGAATGCGCTTTTGACCTTAGGGTCACCCGGATCTCTCGCCACAGTTGTTGTTGGTCGAGTAGTTGTTGATATCTTGGTTGAATACACAATCCAAGGGGCTATTGTCCAATCGTACTTATTATAAGTCTGCTTCCAACCAGTACCCGAACCACTGCCTGACGTGTCTCCATAGGGTTGGTAGCCGCTTCCCGAACCACCACCAGATCTGTCGCCATAAGGTTTGTAGCCACCTCCTGAGCCTCCACCAGATCTATCTCCGTATGGTTGGTAGCCACTTCCAGAGCCACTACCTGGTCTTTTCCCGTAAGGCTGGTAACCACCACCCGAGCTACCACCAGATCTATCTCCATAAGGTTGGTAGCCACCACCTGAGCCACTCCCTGGTCTTCCTCCTTGGGGCTGGTAACCACCACCCGAGCTGCCACCAGATCTATCTCCATAAGGTTGGTAGCCACCACCTGAGCCACTCCCTGGTCTTCCTCCTTGGGGCTGGTAACCACCACCCGAGCTACCTCCAGATCTATCTCCATAAGGTTGGTAGCCACCCCTTGAGCCACTCCCTGGTCTTCCTCCTTGGGGCTGGTAACCACCACCCGAGCTGCCACCAGATTTTCTTTCGTAAGGTTGGTAGCCACCCCGCGATTTATCTCCGTAAGGTTGGTAGCTGCCACCCGAACCACCGCTTGATCTATCACCGTAAGGCTGGTACCCACTGCCTGACCTCTCTCCATACGGTTTCCATCCACCTGGCGGGCGGTCATTTGACTTCTCGCCGTAAGGTTTCCATCCACCAGGTGATTTGGTTCCCCAAGATTTCCAGCCTCCGCTTTGACCGCCGCCTCGATTATCACCGTATTGTTTCCAACCACCCGGAGATTTCGTCGGCCATGACTTGTATCCGCCACCCGAATCGGCCGACTTATCACCGTAAGATTTCCATGGTGGTCTTGTGGTCCAAGTTTTCCACCCTCCAGCCGATTTACCACCCCAATTTCGAGTCCAAGGAACCCAAGGAGGTTTCGTTACTTGTGCCTCACCACCGCCATTTGTATTGAAGATAAGGAGGAGTTGTGCTTGAAAATACGCCACCAAAACACTCAATCTTCGTAAAGTCATACTTCTTCGGACGAGGTGCGGGCACCCCATGTCTACCTTCGACACATCAAAACATAATTTTAAGTTGATTTGGAGGATTGATATCGCAATGGAGATGTTTCATGTGTGAGGAATTTGCGATTTGACTGTTGATGCTTTTGTAAAAGTTCGCGAGAAACACGATGGTGCTACTGGTTTTTTCTGAAATCAACTCCCAAGCTCAAAAAAAGCTCTCAAGTTGAGGCCAAAATGGAGGGAATATCCCACCCTACCCTGTGAGTCCATGTCTACATCAAGACAAACTCTCCATGCAAAGATAGGGAGCAAGTATATCAACAGGGTTGGGTGTTTTCAGTTTTGGAATCCCCAAATAAAGTGGCAGCCCTGTCAATGTATTTGCTCCCTATCTTTGCATGGAGAGTTTGTCTGGATGTAGACGTGGACTCTCAGGGTAGAATGGGATATCCCCTCCATTTTGGCCTCAACTTGAGAGCTTTTTTTGAGCTTGGGAGTTGATTTCAGAGAAAACCAGTGGCACCATCATGTTTCTCACGAACTTTTACACAATAATCAACAGTCAAATCGCAAATTCCTCACTCATGCGACATCTCCATTGAGTGGAAAAGCGAGGGGTACTGTCAACAATGAGGTTACTCCCTAGAGCCCGTATAAGACGATCTAACTAGTAGTGGGGCCGATAAGTGGAAAATATCATAACAATCGTGCACTTCTGGAAGAAAGCATGAAATTTTCAGGGATTCATCCTTACCCTATAGACATTCGATTTTGACAAAGACCCCAAAAATCTGAGCCCCCTGGGGGGGCAGAGGGGCCCCCAAATTTTGAATTTTGAATAACTACGGAACGGCTAATGTTAGCGTAATTTTTTTACAACAGAACGATGGGAAATTTTATTAGGAACAAAACTGGTTCTTATGAATTATTCCTTGGGATCGATATTTTAGGCGTGAAAACTGGAAAAACCATCGGGGGACGGGGAGCCGGCCGTTCTGAGGCAGATCCGCGCGCTGCGCTGCCTGCCCGGGACGCGCGCGGTGGCGCGGCGCGGTACGGTGTTACCGACGAAACAACCGCTTGTCTTTGTTTATTCTCGACGATGCGCAGTTTTAAAAATATTATAAATTTACCGTACTGCCTAAATACTTTTCCGTAGTAATATAAGACTTACTTTATATTAGTAATAAATAAAAGCAAGCAAAAGGCGAAAGACTCCAATGTGAGAGCGCCGAGTCAATAGGAGGGGTCGGTCATCGCGCATCACGTGTCTTGTTTTCCATGAATACAGAGCTTTTCCGACCTCTGTACCGAGTCAATTACCCTTTCCTTACGTATTTTTTGTAAAGGATTACATTTTTTTTTGATATTAGAGCGAAATAAGATTTAAGTAGATAAAGAATTTAATAGATTTTTACCCACTTTTTCATGACTACTGGAAATGGGATCCTTGTTAACTTATTTTTAGCTTATTTTTCATGTTACTTCCGGCGAATGGGACCATGAGCTGCTTACATAAGCAAGAATTCTGCAATACATGACGCAAAGAAATTACTTGAGGAGTGAGGAGGGGGGGGGGGGCTTCACAGTCCCTTGCCACTAAGGTGCCCAGATTTCCTTCCTTTTCCTCTAATATCGTTTTTCGTTCATGTCAATTGGTTTCTCGCGATTGCATAGGTACTGATACATACGGAACATTCCGACAGCGTTCTTTCCTCCTCTTTTTTACTACAGCCAGTCAACAGACGAACAGTGGGAAGTCATTAACTTCCCACTCTTTCAGATATTCAACAAATATGCATATTTCACAAAATAAAACGATATATCAAATGAATAATAAAAAAGAAGATATCTGAATACTATCGCTTCTTTTCATAGAGTCACACTTGAAGATTATTATTGTTATACTAACCACAGGACATAAAAAATGGAATGAGCACTAAATAAAATCCATGTATATTATCTTTCATTTTGTTCTATGGAGTTTGAAGTGGAGTTGGTAACATTTGTATTGAAAAAAATATTAATATAGGAGGAAATTTATTTATCAGATGCAGGTTCTGATCCTTTAAAGAACCTCTGAGAAGGACCAGTACCTCAGGAAGAAATTCATTGCATTTCTTCTTTTTTAACCCGCAAATCTCGTACCAATTTTTTATTTGTATAGAGCTCGTGGAAGAGCTCTAGGTATGTCGGAGACAATTTCAAGAAACGGGACTTGCGAAATATGTAATGCACAAAACCCACACCTTAAACTTTATCGCACAGTATAACACTGATCAAATTAGCTTCAGAGATTATAAGAGGGTTAATTTCTTGTCAAAATATCAACAAATCAGTCAAAATCAGTAATCGGTAATCAGTTGCAAAATTACCAAAGACATAAAGACGGAGTGCTCGTATCTAAAAGCACGGGAAAAAAGTGAAGCCTGGTTTGGCGCTGGGTGCTTGTGTGAGTGTGTAAATGGGCGCGGGAATCCATGGCGGCAAACGGAAATTTGATTTGAACTTGTCCTCTTGATTTTTCCTTATTTCTTCTTCTAAACGTGTTTTAAATGCCTAAAACGATTATATTAAGAAAGTTCGGTCTGCGTCCTAATATAATACACCTACTTTTGCTCAGTAACAGGCAGCAATCTCAGATAAAGTTAGTTTTTCTTCTGCTCATGGTGGTTCTGCAGGTTCAAACAGGCCGTTACAGTGCTAGATGACCGTTACTCCCAAATGAAATGAATCGGTCGACGACGGACCAAAACTAACCTAAAGTTAAAAAAATATGAGTGGGTAAGTGAATTTGGGCAAAAATCAACCTAGAATACTTTATTTCCGCAATTTTATTTAGTTCCCGCCCTACATTTGAATTTCAAACTTGTCCCGATTTCCCCGCCAATCCTCTAGCCAATAGTAGAGGTGGTTGAAAAGAAGCTTCATGTTTTGCTTTTAGCCCTCCGTCTTTATGTCTTTGAAAATTACCGAGTTTGAGGGAAATCGTGTGATGCGAGATTTTATTGATGGCATAAGAGCAGGATATTGAAGGTGAAACTACCAAACCACGTATCTCGTTTGCGGTGTTTAAAAATCTACGCTCGCACACGGAGAAAAAAAGTTCGGCGTCAGTAACCGAACTTCGGTTGCCTGTGCCGCTATGATTGGTCCATATGGAACACCAATTATAGCAGTTCACTGAACTCCAGTTCTTCGGTAGAACGAGCCGAAGTTTCTCGGTTGTCAGCACGAAGTTCTCGGTCCGGGGAACCGAACTTCGGCTCATCGTGCCGAAGGCTTCTGTACACCTAACCGAAATTCTTGGATGCNTGCATTTTATTTTTTTTGAAGTAGACCAAATCAATATCAAATCCATACAACAAAACAATCCAGAACTCGAGCACCTAACCCCTTCTCCTTCCGTTGCCGTCCGCTCGCTTGCATACATACATATATTACCTGCAAAAGTTCAGCCTCTTTTAAGGCTTCATAGGTAGTAAGATATATTCATAATATTTTTAAAACTGCGCATCGTTGAGATTAAACAAAGACATGCGGTTGTTTCGTCGGTAACACCGTACCGCGCCGCGCCGCCGCGCGCGTCCCGGGCAGGCAGCGCAGCGCGCGGATCTGCCTCAGAACGGCCGGCTCCCCGTCCCCCGATGGTTTTTCCCGTTTTCACGCCTAAAATATCGATTCCACGGAAAAATTCATAAGAACCAGTTTTGTTCCTAATAAAATTTCCCATCGTTCTGTTGTAAAAAAATTACGCTAACATTAGCCGTTCCGTAGTTATTCAAAATTCAAAATTTGGGGGCCCCCCTGCCCCCCCAGGGGGCTCAGATTTTTGGGGTCTTTGTCAAAATCGAATGTCTATAAGGTAGAGATGAATCCCTGAAATTTTCATGCTTTCTTCCAGAAGTGCACGATTGTTACGCTTATCGGCCCCACTATAGAGGCTTCAAAGAGGTGCATCGATGCCTTTCCTGGCCCTCTCATTCGCGCCAGCGGTTTAAGTCGGGGGAATCGATGAGTCTCTTTGAAGCCTCTACTTTGATCGTCTGATACGGACTATATACGAGTTTCGATTGATCATCTAACGTAACGAGATAGAGGCATTTTAAGTCTACCATAGATGGACTCGTAATGATGTGATCAATCGGTTGAACGCATTTGACGCAAAACCATGAACATTGATGATTACCGATTGCGTGCAATTTCCGTCCAAAAACTAAAATCCTATTCATTAAATTAAACTTTTTGGTGTGAAAAGGGCCTTTAGATCATGCTGTGATGCTCGTGGGGTTGTTAAATATCATAATTGTATTTTGTGGTGAACCTATTACTCCATTGTCCTGATGTCTTAAAGCATTTTTTCCCCGTAAGTTACAATGAAATCGCCCACGCCAATTCTAAAGCACTGTTTTGAATATTGGATTGCACGAGACGTTTTATTTGCTACAGCTCCTCCCGTCTTAGGATTTTAAGAAACGCACTTAGAGCAACCATTTTTGGCGACGAACATGTTCCTGGAAAATAATGAACCAAGTTAAAAGAACTCACATGACATGCATGAAAAGGTCAGTAACTGGCTTTTTTACTTGTCGCACCATACAATTACGAGAAAAATGAAATAATTTGAAATCACCTACCTTGATTTGCGGCAGCGCATCATTTAAACCGGTAGTTATGATATGTGCACACAGTACACGAAGAGACTAATAGTCTTTAATAGTCTTATAAATGTAAATAAAAAAATAAAGATGTCAATATTCAGACACTATATGAGGTGAATTAAAACTGCGTTTTGACACATACACAACATGTTTCCCACATTTCAGCATTCTTTTAATTACACCATCGCTTGTTAAGACCGTTATGGACTAACCAAATTAAAAAACTTGCCCTCTAAACGTCTTGCGCTAATTATACACTAAGTTATACAAAACCATTCAATCATTATTATAAATGAAATTGTTTTCAAACTACATCAAACGACAATAATCTGAACACTCAATTTAAGCATTTATGAGGTCCTGAAAGAAACTGATAAAATAAAGGCCACGAAGCAGAAAATACTTTGAGATTCCATTAAAAAATTGGATCGCGGTTACGTACAATTTTCTACTTTTCAATTTCTTCCAGAATATGAGAATTTAAGGCTGTGCATTGAGAACTTATAAGTATCTCAGTAAGACTGGCACTTTGCACTTGGTTCTCTTTTCCTCTTTCGAAAACGTGTTGTTAGTAAACTGCAGTAATTTAATGATTCCTTAATGTTACAACTATACTGTCACTTCTACTGATGTTACAATTGTACAAACTATTTATCCCCTTAGGCATTATTGAAGTTCAGTTAAATCTGATAACCGAGTGAATAAGTAGATGGAATCAAACTCGCCTGTTATGCCTTGAAGCCATTATAAATTACGTCACGTCAGTCTGGAACTTCAATTCATTTTCCCTCTTTGTTGTGCATCAGTTAACCATCTTCAAACGTTGACCTCATAGTAAATTGCATACTTCCTAACATAGTATGCCTCTCGTATCAAGAACATTGACACTTTAAAATTTTTCACTAATTTTTCAACCAATATTTTTGAAAAATATTTGACAAATCTGCGCTGCGTATTGAATTTACTGTTGCAACTCATAGTGCTACAATCACCTCCCATTTATTACGCTCCAATCAAGCTGGCACAAACCCCTGCTCCTTTTTAGATCCCAAATTATGAAGAGGCCCTCAACCTTAAGGTGAATAGACGGTTGCCATTTTTTGTGTCAGAGCGACGAGCGGTAAATCGCATCAAATCGTTCCATAAATTTCAGCTTCTTGTCATTTTTTTCGAGTTTTTAGATCGCACTTCTGTTGTCACGAGACTAAAGAATTCATGTGTCAAAGACAAAGAAATTAAACATAAAAGGCAGGGTTTTTTTAGAGGAAAAATATCGCATTCGAGTGCAGTTTCGATATCAGTATCGAATGCAATATTTTTTCCTCTAAAAAAAACCCTGCCTTTATTACGTTGAATTTTTATAATATATGTACAAATCGAGTGCAGTTTCGATATCAGTATTGAATGCAATATTTTTCCTCTAAAAAAACCCTACCTTTATTACGTTGACTTTCTTCGTCAAAGGCACATGCATTCTTTAGTCTCATGACAACAGAAGTGCGATTTCAAAATTCGAAAAAAATGACGAGTAGCTGAAATTATGGAATCGAATTGATGCGATACATCGCACGTCGCTCTGACACAAAAAATGTCAACCGTCGAATCACCTGAAGTGATCATAGCTAAGTTCATCTGAAAGTGAATGATTACGTCATGAATGTGGCTTGTAACAAGCATTGGTCTTCATTGTAATCAACGTGATTAGAATCGACAAGTGTGTTCTCAGACTCTAGCATAGCTTTGAGATGCTCTTATCACGAACAATAGCTTTGTGAGAACTTAAAAATAGGTCAGTCAGTATCCCAAAAATTATAAAATCTACAGATCTGCATGTCTCTGTGGCACCGTATGCGCTTTCGCAGTTATGTTCGTAAAAATTCCAATACTTCAATGTGGTTTGATATGTTTTGTATCTATTCAAATAATTCTTCCTCAAGACGAGCGAAGCTATGAATTTATCAGCCGTAGATATTTAGAGCACAAAATAGTTCCTGACTGTCTCGATGTTGTCCCAAAACATCACTTGCAGGTTAGTAATTGTGAAAAAGCATTATATATTATAGAACAAGACGCGCACAATAAAACTGCGAAAAAGTAACCCAGAAACCGAGAAATACACGATTCAAAAAGTGTAACTTTTCAGAAAATTCAAAACACCCCGGTTCCGCGCCGTACCGAATGATGTCAACCGGCACTAATCAGGAGCGGCACGGGTTTTTGCGACTTACGTGCAATGTTTTTCTACTCTTCGTACATAAAAACAACAGGGAAGTCAAAACTAAATCTTCAGAAATAAGGAATCAAATCTCATGTATGTTATCTGTACTAAACAAGCGACAACTGTACATTGATGTACGTTTTATTTTAACAAACATCGGGGGCAAATGAGAGGGAATAGTGATTTGACCTCCGGAGTACTTCACTGTCATCAATTTTCCGCCGAAAGTCCCTCGAGTCTTGCGACTTTTTAAAAGCGCGGCTTTGTCCCGGATATTTTTGCTCCATAACACGCAATAATCCAACACATTATTCACTCGCCTGGTACTTTCAGAATATTAAGTTTAAAAAAAAAGGGTTTAGCGACCCATTGGTGCGCGTTGTGCACTGGTCGGAAGTGATGTATGTAAGTACACCGCGGTAGGTCCGGCACCGGGCAATTACGAATTTTCACAAATTAAAGTGTGCGCCGTAGTGAATGCGGAATGCGTGAGGTATTCCTCCAGTCTTGCAGGCGCTAATATGCGTTTTGCGCTGACACGACAGCTCTGTGTTAAGCGCGATTAGCGACACTCACGGAGTCAGCGTTTTTCAACTTGGTACCTCTATTAAGTTATTGCACACTCTGTATGGATTACTGTCATTCAAGATGACAAAAAAAAAAATATCATAGCACTAATTTTCTTCTATTTGATTTACAAGTACCTAATACCAGCCGGCACTTCTTGTGTTCTTGTATTGTAGCTCTTGTCAAACTTGTGAATTCTCTTTTTCACAGCTCCTAGAGAATTGATACGCCACAAAAATACGTTCGCATTTCAGGTAGAATTCTACAAACACGTTCTTGACTATGGATCTGTGTTGAAAGTGGAGGATGTTAATGAACCACCATCGTGTCTTAGGTGGCCCATAGAGAAAGGGGCATACTACGCCATGGCCTTTGTGGGTGTGTATAGCTCCAAGTTTCAGCGTGAACCGTCATAACTAAGACGAGGGGGTGTCAAGAAAAGAACGGTAAATTTGCTTATAGTTTAAAATCTCTTTGGAAGTAATAGTATCGTTCAATCGAATTTCCATAGTCATACAGTTGGGTAAAAGACAGCTGAGACTCCTCTTTTACACGGGTGACTTACAGGGAATTTTAGTTAGTTAGTTAGTTATTATAATTTTAAGACATTCAGCGACTCAGGCTAGTAACGTCTTTACAGATAATTTTGAAAAAAGGAGTATAAACGAAAATTTAGATTTTTAAATTAAGAGAGGTGAAGAGTTTTAGAATTTTGGTGAATTTTAGCTTCTAAACCACAGAGAATGAATGAATCTACATAATTTTTACGATTGTTCATGAGAGAATTCTACTCTCATGCCAAACTATGATTATGTATACTTTCATTTCCTCTTGATTTCTAAAGTGAATATTGTGTAATCTCCAAAAATTCAATGTTAAATTTGGGAAATTCAACGTAATCTTTTATCGTGGCTTGGTCTTCATTTCGTCTTGTAGAATATTAATCGTGTAATGGATACGTTATCTCTTTAAAAATTTTGTTTAAATTTATAGTTGATTAAACGATTTCAGGATTGGATGTTCCTATCCGCGAAGTGAATACTGAGAGTGAATTCCAACATTTTCTCGTTGTCAACATACCAGGAACGGGTCCAGATTTTTACTATGCAGATTATCCAACGATGTATGTTGGACTGAACCCAGTTTATGAGCCAGGTATGGTTATAATTTTATCTAATAAAGAAAGTTGCAGAGTAACATTTTTCTTTGACCTAGAAAATACTATAGCTACCATTTTTGGGTTTATTAAGGACACAGATCGATTGGGAGGAGTAATAAGCTGTGTATGTATAAATCATCTAGGAATTACAGGTCATTTGTGAGGCATCATACATTTTCTTAGATAAAAAAACTAGGAACCGATTTTTCATGGTTTCAATCTATATTATCCCAGTGGGTCTCTTAATAGAAATATTGGATTTTAGCTGTAATTTTTATTTGAACATTTTCATGATACTTATGTTTTACAATAAATGTACCTGGTCTGCCCAAAGGATAAAGAAGTTTACGATCAATAAAGTTGATTAATCTTCTCAAAGGCTTCCATGCATAAAACGAGAGAAGATGGTTCACAAAAGAGGAATATTACCTTTCAATTTAAAATCCTTTGGAAAAATTACCTACATTTTTTGTCTCCCTTACGAGGCATTCGATCTAATTTTGACTTTCTATACTGAATATTGACTGGAATATTGTGACAGTTAACCGGTTTTCCGTAACTTACGAACGGAACCATGCATCACAAAATGACTGAGACTATCAATTTTTTTGAATTTACAGGTTCCCATCGACTGGTTTTCACAGTTTTCAAGCAGCCCGGAAAAATACACTATGAAAAGGACTTCATCCCGAACACGTAAGTTTTTGCTCTGGAAAAATTGAACATTTTTGCCTCTGACATAGGGACGTATCATCTCTGTGTAAGCCCCAAAAAGAATATGACCAGTAAGGCTCAACTCTAAAATCAGTTACGCCCTTACATCAGACGAATGACGAATTTTGACCACCCATCGGGAAAAAACCTTCGTCTATAGAAACTCATAAGTAAGGTATTGATATCGAAGCATGAAACATTTTTCTCCTCACATTTTGAGACAGTAAACGCTGAAAAGTATTATAACAAACCGAATTTATATTGATTTGAAATTTGTAGATTTAAAAACGTAGTGTTAAGAAATGGAACACTTAAAATTATAATCTGACATGTTCAAGGCAAAAAATTACCGCCCCATAATGCAAGTTAATGCCCTTTTTTAACCTGAAAATAAGCCAATGTCCTCGGAAAGTAAATTTCAGGAAACTGGAAAGATCTTTTGTTGAAAGCTGCTCAAATGCTAATTTTTAGAATCAACTCGATGAAAATCGTTCTACCGACTTCTTGCTTTCGTGGACGGTTATATCTAAATTATGTGCACACATGGAAGTACTAAACAAAATTTCTCAACAATTAAGTGTAAAAACATATTTTTTCCAGCTTCATAAGTTGTGCACGGGCGAATTTCTCAACAAGAAAATTTGCGGAGGATTACAATCTTGGAGAGCCTTATGCAGGAAACTTCTTCGTGGTCAATATGAATGATTCTATCTTGGTGCCTGATCATCAAGATCAAGAGAATTATTATTGATCAACTGTCTCGGAATCCTAATTGAGTAAGACATGAAAACCTCTTGGCTCCGTAACCAGGGCAAGTTGACAAAACGATCAAATTTGGGAAAAAGCAGGTGAAAAACACAAGTTCTGCAACATTTTGGCAAGCACTGATTTTCAAAAAATACATTCATCAAACAATAAAATATAATTGTAATTACGTGTGCGACAATTTAGAAATTAACTGTAACCTTTAATCTAATGTAGATTATATGTATTGATTTTTTTAAGACTATGATTTGATTCTCGTCTATTATGAGTTTGATTTATTGTCAAACTGCAATTGGTCAGAACGTAATACACTCCCAAAAAACGAACGTTTCATTTCAGCACTAATGCATAAAAACCTCATGTAAGTATATTAATAAAAACCTACATGCAATGAATCGATTTAAAACCTTTACGTTTTTTATAAGTTACTTTTTTTATACAATTAACTTCCGTCTATTTGAGCAAATAGACGGAAGTTAATTGTGCGCAGTCGATAGGATCTCATTTTAGTCGCTAGGCGGTTCAGTGCTTTTAGCATAATTTTGTCACACTAGTGAATGAACTTCATCCGCTGGTAAACATGTACTCTTACAAGAGAACGCATGGCTCGGGTTCGTTTCTTCCCGTCATCTTCTCATGAGTTAGTTTGACGCAAAAATTCATATAAATTTTGTTGAAAGAAGATGAAATTTTACTTCAGAAAATGAACCAGTCCATAAATAACATTGTCTGATGATTGGAGAAATAAAGGCTGAAAACCGAAAATCGTTACTCCACTGCGATTCAAACTAGCCTCTAATGCACTGAGAAAAAACTATGGCTTATAAACCTATTAGAGGTAAATATGGAACACCACTAATAGTAGTGCCTCTACATATAATAATAGCACATATACCTTAGTTATGGTACGGGGTACCTTAATTAGGTACAGAGACCTTAGTATGGTTCACAGACCGAGAATCATTAGTTTATTTACGACTATTATAGGTGTTCCATATTTACCTCTAATAGGTTTATAAACCATAGTTTTTTCTCAGTGTGCAGCTACGGCACATCGAGGGTCGTTCTCATTGGTTGACGAGGTGACTGCCTCGCTCATCGATGCCCCGATGACCCGAAGATGATCGCTGTTTTCGGCAAATATCCACTAGCCTGACGTCACAAAACTGAGTAGTTACGTTCTTAATTCATCATGAATCATGGGTGGCGGTAGCCACCTCCGGACAAAGTCTAAACTCGACAACACTGGAAGGCCTCCAAACGAAAAAAGGTGGCAGCCAACCATAGACACACGTAACTCCCTTATTCTGAAAATTGATTCGGTTGGAACTCGACTGCAGCCCAAACGACGGCACGGATTCCTACGATCTTGGTGTCTACGGACGCATCTCAATTAGGACTACAAAGTGGAAGAGTTTCATTAGGATCCATTGAGTTTTCAAAAAGTTATAAGCACTTAAAGGCCCAAAATGACAAATATTTTTTGTAACATGGGCCGTAGTAGCGGGAAACCGACATGCTCACCTTTCACAACAGATTTCTTGCTTACGCGGCCACAGATTCTAATGAAACCTACAAAGGATCATGCTTGAAGATATGAGGATTTCATTTCTACCACATTTAATAGGGTTTCAATGCTCGGATAATTCAGCATCGGCAAATAACTTTCAAAATTTTAGCTAC